ATCTCAGAATCTCTTTAGAGAATGAACACAGGTTTTCCCCCATCAAAACTTTCAGGATGGAGGAGGCAGCACAAGATGTTAAGCAGAATTCTGGGAAGTGTCATTTCTGCCAGAGGGGTTTCTTCCTTGCCCAGGCATCTAGCCAGACATCCCCCTCCTGCACGTCCTGGGCTTCCCTTACTGCCCCCTTTGGGAAAAGATCAGGACTTCTCCCTCCACTTTGGCCTCACCATCATCCTTGGGATCCTTTGGAGGAACCAAATCCAGCCCTTTTGGGAGAGAAGTAGCACTCACGACAAAGACCTGGAGCCATTTATGAGATTTACAGAACTCTTTCGAAAGTCATAAGTCTGTGCTTTGAATCTTAAGTCTGTGCTTTGAATCTTAAGTGTGGGCGCCCCTCGCGTTTCTAAATATTGCTTCGTATGTATGCATCTTATGAAATAGAGATAATAAACAAGTTATAAACCAAGTTTTGCAGAGCCCTAGTTCCTGATGCTCACTGGGACCAATGTGATGCAGAACAAAGGCTACATTGGTACTGTGGTATATACTGAGGATCTTTAGTTTTACAAGACCTTTAACCTTTACTGCCAAAGAATTATGGTGCCTCCATGGTGCTTCCATGATACCATAGCAGTTACCCATGGCAATTCAAGTGGTGTCAACCTGCATTAATTCTGTTGTGCAGATGAATCCTAAGTCTATTTATGAAGATGCAATACACGACAGGATTCCAATCAAGTGTTTTAGGCATGGCTTTTCCTATTAGATTCCTTCAATGAAATGAGATGTAACATTTGAGAAACTTTCCCCTACCGGGCTACCAAGTTAAAGTCAGAGTGACATCTCAGAGAATAGAGCTTTCAAAAAATATTGATTTTTTTTTCAGAAGAAAAGCAGTAAGAAGTATTTGGAACTTGTCGGTAAAGAAAAATAACGTTAGCATTACATGGTTTGACATGGAACATTTGATTATGTCTCTTTTGTTGCACGCAACTTGAGGTATTTGTAGTATAAGGAGGCCAAGTGGTAATAAAACTCTATTTGAGATGTTTTTCTTTTGTCGTAGGGCATTTTAACCCTGAAGATAATTTAGTGTGATCTATTCAGTCCACTTTTTAAAAATACATTTAAAACCCAACCCTCCATTCTATAACTGTTTTAAAAATATAGAGAGATGTCCTTCAGGGAAAGAATAATACATATTTTCCCCAAACTGCTAACCTTTTCAAGTTTTTCACCCTTTTTTCCCTTTTCAATGCAGAGCTAAAGTTGTTGGCAGGTAAAGAATTGCCAGGGGGTGAACTGACATTATAAATGTCAGAGGTCAGTTCAGGTAAAGGAGGAGGAGAAAGTATGCTGGGAAAAAATGAAGGTTACACTTTATAGAGAAACTTTCCAATTATATCTTTGTTAAAAACAACAGTCCAGTTTCTGGTCTGCTTATAGTTTCAGGACTAGAAATAGCAAAGGAAATAAGGAAAGGTTATACATGTGGGCCAAAATGCATTATTCCTTGCCTGAAGGGAAAACAACCATCTTTTAAAAATACATTTTTACAATTCAAACTTTAAAGGGAGAGGTTGCATCTTATGAATTATATCTCCTTGTATCTCTTCATCCTCTGAGAAAAACAAAAAAAGGGGGAAGCCGTAGGCTTTAGTCACAAGCCAGGCAGTGTCATAAAATGACATTCATTAAACAAGTTCTCTATGAAACAATGGTTGTTGCAAATTCTTCCAAAGAAGCAGCACAAAAATAGAATGACAGAGCTTTAGGGGAAGTACTACACAGAAGAAGATGTGACATTTTAGCATGTATTGTAATCTCTAAGTTGTAGGTACTTATTTTGGGATGGGGCAATTTTAAAGATTACACTCACCTTTATCTCATACAAAGGACCACTTAAGCAATTATGATACAAACACCAAGCAATTATGATTCAGAACTTTCATCCCACACCCTTATTCTTTAGCTACAACTTGCACTATCTCTTTCCCTTCTTCTTGTTTAACGTTGCCCATGTTTTTATAACAGTCGGCACTATAGGTTATTGGGCACTGTTTTTTGTTGTTTTATATACTATTGGAACCCCCAATGGTGCAGTGGATTAAACCACTGAGCTGCTGAACTTGCTAACTGGAAGGTCGGCAGTTCAAATCCGGGAAGCGAGGTGAGCTCCCATTGTTAGCCCCAGCTTCTGCCAAACTAGCAGTTCGAAAACATGCAAATGTAAGTAGATCAATAGATACCGCTCTGGCAGGAAGGTAACGACACTCCATGCAGTCATACCGGCCACATGACCTTGGAGGCATCTACAGACAACACCGACTCATCAGCTTAGAAATGGAGATGAGCACCAACCTCTAGTCAGACACAACTGGACTTAATGTTAGGGGAAACCTTTACCTTTACTATACTACTGGTTTATCTTGTACTGGTTTATCTTGTATTGTGTTTATTTTCTTTTATGTATTGTTTTAGGCATGTTGTGCCATGTGTAAGCCGCCCCAAGTCCCTTCGCGGAGATGGAGGCGGGGTACAAAAATAAAGTTATATTATTATTATTATTATTATTATTTCAGAATGATACATCAGAATTCTTATCAAAATTAGAAATCAACATTTCTTACAAAATGTATGTTTAAGTTTGTACCCCATACCCTTTATATTTTATGCTACCTGCCCAAAATAAGAAAGACTAAGCTACTTAGGCCCTATCTCTGGGGCTCTCTCCCTAAGGAGATCAAAACATTCCCCTCCTTGCTCTCCTTCAAAGAAACAATTAAATACCTCTTTTATGTTTACAAGCATACAGAGAGGAGAACATATAAAATATCTGGCACAAACAAAACAGAATGGAATATAGAAATGGCTTCTTACTCAGGATTTTAAATTTTAATGTTTAATTCTTATTAGTCTCAATTTTTAAGTTTGCTTTTAAATGCTTACCCATCAAAACTTGAATTTTTAGTTGTGTGATGCCTAATTTGTTGTAATGTTACACTACTGTCTGATGTTAATGTCTAATAGCATTATTTGATTTATGGTTTGTTTATTTGCTTTTTGGTCGCACTTTACGGCATTGAATGTTTGCCACTGTATGTTGTAAACCACCCTGAGTCCCCATTGGGGAGGTAGGGTGGGATAGAAATAAGGATTTAGTATCATACATTATCTATTATTATTATTATTATTATTATTATTATTATTATTATTATTATATAATATATAAAGTTATATAGTATAATCCAGTTTCTGAATCCAGATTATATACTTTGAACTGGATTATATAATCATATAATGCAGTTCAAATCAGTTAATCTGAATTCAGAAACCAGATTACATAGCAGATCCAGTCTTAGTATTATATCCACAGGTGGGCAAAATGCACTTCAGAATAAAATTACAGTAGCATTTAAGTAAAATTTCTCCTTTTATCCTTGTTGCTTCGAATGAGTTCCACAATATTGTTCATTATGACAAGGAACAAAGGTTTTCTTTGGCAAGGAATACTCAGATGTGGTTTTGCCAATGTCTTCCTTTGAAATAAAGCCTACAGCACCTGGTATTAATTGGTGGTCTTCCATCCAAGTACTAACCAGGTTTGGCCCTTACCCTTCCAAGATCAGATGGGATCAGTTACCTTTAGGGAATTCAGGACTACTCATCTCTTATTCATTTTCATCTGACAGCAACTGCAGGCATGTGTGTGAACTATACTCAGGTCACTGAAGCTAGCACTATGCTCCAGCACATAAGCCTCTGGTGGCTTTGAATTGTGTAGAAAAGACAGCTTTTCTGTCGTAGAAAATACCCTAAAGATTCTTAATTTATTTTCTGAGTTTCAAATGAGTTTCTGATGCTCATCATTACTCTATATCAGTGTTTCTCAACCTTCTTAATGCCAAAACCCCTTAATATAGTTCCTCATGTTGTGGTGACCCCTGACCATAACATTCTTTTCATTGCTACTTCATAAGTCAATTTTGCTACTGTATGAATCATAATGTAAATATCTGATATGCAGGATGTATTTTCATTCACTGGACTAAATTTGGCACAAATATCTGATACGCCCAAATTTGAATACTTGTTGGGGGGGAGGGGTTGGCTTTTGGGAGTTGTAGTTGCTGAAATTTATAGTTTACCTACAATCAAAGAGCATTGTGAACTCCACCAATGATGGAATTGAATCAAACAGCACACGGTACTCCCATGACCAAGAGAAAATATGGGGAGGGTTTGGTGGGCATTGACCTTGAGTTTTCGAGTTGTAGTTCACCTACAGCCAGAGAGCACTGTGGACACAAATAATGATGGATCTGGATCAAACTTGGCATGAATACTCACTGTGCGCAAATGTGAACACTGGTAAAGTTTGGGGGAAAATAGACCTTGACATTTGGGAGTTTTGGTTGCTGGGATTTAAAGTTCACCTACAATCAAAGAACATTCTGAATCCCACCATCAAGAGAATTGGGCCAAACTTCCCACACAGAACTCCAATGACCAACAGAAAATACTGTGTTTTCTGATGGTCTTTGATTACCCCTATGCGACCCTCGGGGTGAGAAACAGTGTTCTATATTACCAAATTTTGAAATTATTTCTCTGTATTCCTCTTGCCACATCCTGATTTCCTTGTGCTCCCCACTGTACTTGGATCATTTTTACTAAGGGAATGTATGTCAACATGTGTGTTTACATGTATAATCAGCCAGGGTTGACACAGGTTCGGGGAACATATAGAAAGATTTCTATAGGATTACAAACATGCACTATTATTACATGTCACACCTGACATGTAGACGAGCAATGATCATGGATAAGGATATAATATTGTAATTCAATTTAAAAATAATTGACATAGGATGTTCTGTATTCCATACCTTTCTCCATTTTAAGGGCAAAAAAAGATTAATAAAATAACATCTTCCTTGTAACTTGACTGCCATCTAGTGATACAATAAGAAAAAAATGTCTTTCTTTTTAAGATCAGTATCTTTATGACACACCTGTCCAACTATGGGAATGACCAGCTGGGTTTATACACCTTTGTCAATCTGGCCAATTTTGTTCAGAGCTGGACTAACTTGAAGCTGCAGACACTTCCCCCAATTCAACTGGCTCACAAGTACTTTGAGCTCTTCCCTGAGCAGAAGGATCCTCTTTGGCAGGTAAGAACACAAAAAGGAGCACTCTCCTGTTTTATTTGATGGAGATGATTTACTTGAACTGTTAGTCTACATTGTATAAATTATATTGCATCTTCCTTGTTATAGATGAACTGGGTATTGTTGGTTTTTCCCCCACTTTAAACGACCTATTATTAAACCGCATCTAACTAAGTATAACTTCTGGCTGCTGGCTTCATATCAGAAAGCCAACTGCACAATTTCTTCACTTTTCTATCACTTTGCCTTTTACTAATTTAATAATATCAGGGGATGTAATACAAAATATGAATAATAAAAGCAGATGTTATTACTAATTATGCCCATATGTGAATGGGGAGAAATCTTGCCCCTGAAAGAGATTTTGACAAGTGGAGGCCTTTGCTAACAGAAGAGAATGAGAGATAATTTTCCCCATAGAAAGGATGAGGAAAGTTCAGATCACAATTTTCACGTAGCCCCAAAGCCTTTCAGAAGACCCAAACCCCACCCATATTTTAAATTCTAGTAAATGAGCCTCCGGTGGCTCAGCAGATTACACACCAACTGTAGTCAATCTTGTCAGGCTGCCAGTTCAAAGCTGGGTCAAAGTGAGCTCTGACCTTAGCCCAACTTCCACCTACCTAGCGATCCAAAAACAAAAAAAATGTGATTAGATTAGGGCGGGGGGAGGTATTCTGAGGCACCCAGAAGGAATGTGGTTCAATCCAAAAGAAGGAAGAAAGTTATGAACTATCTCTTTGGGAGGGAGATGGAGCGACAGCACCCGCCTGTGCCCAGAACTGAGCACAACACCTTCAAAGATGCCAAAAGATGGTGACAGCCAATATATATACATCTAATCTATGTATAATTTTCTGTCTAGTTGTGTTTAAAAACAATATTGAATATTTGCTGCATATGTATGTTCTGTTATCCGCCCGGGATATAAATACTGTAAATAAATAAAATAAATAAATAAACCGCTGAGCTGCTGAACTTGCTGACTGGAAGGTCTGCAGTTCAAATCCAGGAAGTGGGTTGAACTCCCGTTGTTAGCCCCAGCTTCTGCCAACCTAGCAGTTTGAAAACATGCAAATGTGAGTAGATCAATAGGTACTGCTCTGGCAGGAAAGTAACAGTGCTCCATGCAGTCATCCCCGCCACAATGCCTTGGAGGCGTCTACAGACACCACCACCTCTTTTGCTTAGAATTGGAGATGAGCACCACCCCCCAGAGTCGGACATTACTAGACTTATGGGAAACCTTTACCTTTAGCTTTAAAAAATGATCCAAATCATTTTACAAACATAACAGGTTAATTTACCCACTTCCTGAAGGCCCCAGCACCCCAGGAACATCTTTTAATGGGCACAAATCAATTTAAAATACTAGGAAATGATGGTAGAAGTGATATTGTATGACATCCATATGAAACCGGCATGAAACACAGGTTTTAAAACAGCTCTTTGTATAATTGCCCAGTCTTGCACCCTGTTTTATGAGTTTGGGAGGACAAATTGTGATAAATTACCACCTTTTATGGCAAGAATATCCTCTAGATCAAATGCCCTTCTACACATGAAGGACACATCTGGATTTAGCTTAGAAAACTGTGTATCATTCGAAACACGTAGGAATTTAACAGATGAAATAAAAGGAAATGGTTCCTTTTAAACTATAAGCTGCTTTCAGTGCCTACTGTGTTTAAGGGACAATGATAACGATTTTCTTCCAATGAAACCAAAATGAGGTATGTGAATACCAAAGCAACTGACCTATCTTAGGTACTACTTATACATTTGAATACTTGACCTTCCAAAATAATGTAACTTTCTGTGTAAAATAGATTGGGCCACTTTACTGAGTTTTCAATAATAAGACTGCAGTCTTAGCCTTGTATAACTCAATTGTACTTACTCATCAAGTTAAAATACAAAGGATTCAAATTATCCCAATTACTCTATACAAATCGTGTAGCTTTACAATGGTCAGATAAAACATATATGTAGCTTAATTTAATTGTTAAACCCAACTAGAGTAGGTCCATTAAATAAAGGGAACTTATAAAAGTGTTGATTTACCAAGTTCACATTCGTTCAGTGGGTCTATTGTAGTGGGGATGAACAATTGGATTCAGCCCTCAGCTTATTGCAGTCTTCCAGATGACCTTGAACCGCAGCTCCCAGTATTCTTTACCTACAAGCTCTGCCGATTTGTACACTATTCATCTGGTTTATAAAAGAAGTAACATGCAGTCAACATCTGGAACACTGAATTTGCTCATCTTGTTTATAAAAAAATGTTAAAGGGTTCCAAATATCAATGCTTACTCTGTATATAGTATTCAAAATTAGTGTGAAGGCTTATTTTCCTTTATAAAAGTTAGGGGTTTTTTTTCTTCTTTCCAAAGCTTAGAAATAAATTGACCAATACAAAATAAGCAAAATTACATTGGACTACTTTCTCCTTCACTTAGAATCCCTGTGATGATAAGCGGCACAGAGATATCTGGTCTAAAGAAAAAACCTGTGATCGTTTACCAAAATTCCTGGTAATTGGACCTCAAAAAACTGGTGAGAACTTCTGGTATTACATCTATATACTCAACATTGCTGATATATTTTAAGTTACAGTGGGAAATATGTGGTTCCCCAGATGATGTTGAATTAGCATCTCCCAACATTTCTCATCAATAGCTATTCTAACCAGGGGTAGTTCTACATGGACACAATATCCCTGGGCTGATCCTTAGCATCAGAATTTGGATTGGCTGCAGGATGAACCTTACCGCCAGTCCCAGGCCAATCTGGAAGTGAAAAGAAGTCATTACCACCAGCCTCTGGGAAAATGTGGAGACAGGAAGGAGTCCTGACCACCCCCCTGGTTCTCATCATAGCAAAATGGCTAGTGGCTATCGCTCATCACCTGGACTCATGTTGAACAGGTGCCAGAGAAACTTGGGAGAAGGGAGGGAGAAAAAGAAGAATCACTTCTGCTCTCCCTGCCCAATTATTCTTGAAAGTTGTTGCAGACACTCCAGGCAACGAGTGTTGGCCACCAGCCATTTTGTGTCCAGTGGCCATCGCTGCAATGAGAACAGGAGGGGAATGGTAAATGCCATCCTGTATCACATGAGGAACACAGGATGGCCATGAAAACAGTTGCAGTCAGTTCTGTCTCACAACCATCCCAACTGTTTACATGGACCCAAAGTCAGTTTGTTCCAGGTTCTTGTGGGAACTCCAATGCTATCTGCAACTTTTATTAACATTGTTTAAGGCCACATTAAGAGGCCTTGGTCTGCTGTAATCCAAATCAGTTTTATGCATCATGTAGCCACCACAGAGCTGATTCTACCCTCCTGAGAGTGGCAGTGTAAAGGGCAATGTGATTCTTAGACCTGTGAATGTACCAAATAGAAAATGCTATCCCATATTATGTTTTTCCCCTACTAGATGTCTTTCTGATCTATCATAACCATTCAGCTAACCATTTGTCGGAGGTGCTTTGATTGTATTTGACAGGGGGTGGATCTAGACGATGTTTTCCAACTCTATTATTCTATGATTCTATATATGCTGCCTTTTTAGCACCAAATGTTTGCTTTTTTTAACAATGGCTCACATACAGCAGTGGTTCTCAACCTGTGGGTCCCCAGATGTTTTGGCCTTCAACTCCCAGCAGTCCTAACAACTGGCAAACTGGCTGGGATTTCTGGGAGTTGTAGGCCAAAACACCTGGGGGACCCACAGGTTGAGAACCACTGGTGGACAGAGGACAGAGGGCAGATGTTTTCAGCTATTGCAGATTGGCTTTAGTTTTTTAAAAATCAGCTTATCTTTGATCCAAGAAATCTTACTAAATGCAAGCTTTTTTCCAGTTCATCAAATAAAGCTTTGTAAACATTTCATATATTTTTCAGTTATTTCGTGGCAAAAATAGGTATAATGTTCACTAGAGACTATGAGAAAAACAGCTGCTTTGTTTTACATGAAATCAAGACCAGCTGGCCGAATGTGTTTCTTGTCTCAGTTATTCAATTTCTTAATTCTCTTTGCAGGCACAACAGCTTTGTATTTGTTCCTGATTATGCATCCTTCCATCATTAGTAACTCCCCCAGCCCCAAAACCTTTGAGGAGGTACAGTTCTTTAATAGAAATAACTACCACAGGGGGATTGATTGGTAAGATGGGTTACTAGTATAAACCTAACATTTCTATACTGTGCGCAATATAAAAATGGCATTACCATATCTAATGTGAGTGTGTATGTGCAGAATAAAATGGACTTTACTAAAAATTAAATGTGTGCAAATAACCTCAGCTAGTATCGATACAATAAATACCTGTCTGTGATTTCTCGTTTTGTTTCTCCTTTGTTTTTAGAAAACACATCCATATCAATTATACACTTAGGACTGTTTGAGCTCTTAGAATATTGATTAGATTTCAGTTCAGGGTATTCAGCTGTGCGCTAACAGGCAATCGGATATTGTATAGGCACTTAAAAGTTTAAGCCTAACTAAAACAAAGTGTATCACCACTGAAGGAAGAGCTCCCCTTCTTTCACCCCCTTCCAGGGCCATCTGACATTAAAAGCTATGGTTCCACATCCTCATAACTCATTTTTCTCCACCTGATACTTCATGCAAGGACTCAGTTGTATTCTTACTTCCATGGAGAAGGTGAAAGAGGCAAGAAGCTTTTCAGGTGCCAGATGAGTCCTGAGGTTGGGACTCAGATATTGCCTGCAGACTCTGTAAGGTTTTGCATGTCTTCACTCTTGCCCACAGGGGAAAGAAGGGAAGAACATTAAGATGGCACTTGCAGGATTCTCCTGCCCCCAGACTTCAATGGTAGTTTGTAAACTTGACTGAAAGGGGTTTTGACGTGTTATGTAGATTAATCACAAATTATCTGCAGTTAGAAACAGAAAGAGACATCAGAATATGACTTATGTGATACTCAAGATTCAGTGCAAGTGGGGATGTTTGCCTTCCCTAAGAAGAGAAATATCTATGTATATTTCAATGTTCCATTCTCACTTTGCATTTTCACTCCAAATTTCAGATGACAGGAGGTGTCACAATTTCTTCTTTGAACATCACAAAGAACCCATTTGTCCATTTTAATCACTATTGTATTCTTAAACAGCTCTTGGGAAAACAGATTTTGGGCAGTTCCAGACAGAGGAAAAGTCCAGATCGGGGTGGATTGTAATCCGCACACCATCCCAAAAGCCCATGCTTTCTGCGGGTGTTGTCTACATGTCCTCCCAGTACCTACTGGGAGAACAGGGAGACAATCCCATGCCCTCCCCAAACCCCTTTAATAACCCTTTAAAAAAGAAAATAACTTATGGGGCCTGCATTTCCCAGCTGCCAGCCTTCTCGTGGTGCTTAGGAATGATGCGCCAAGAGAAGTGGGAGGAGGAAAATTGCTCTTGCCCCCTCCCCTTCTCCTGGCAAGTCATTCTTAAGTGCCAGGAAAGGGCGGGCAGCAGGGAAATGCTGACCCCATAAGTTTTCTTTTGTAAAGGGTGTTTGGGGTGGGGTGGGGGAGTTGGGGGGGGGGGTTGGTGCCCTCATGGTTTTCCAGGCTAATTTAGACCAGAAAAATGTGAGAGTACTGTCTGGACTGCTCCCTCAGGAAATTGTGAGTTTGACCCATGTCTTTCAAGAAGGCACACATTGAATCCACTATCAAATTAATTTGGAGCAAAGCAGAGTATTCCTGCTTTGTCCTGAATTAATTTGTTTTGCAAGGGGTGTCATTTGGATGCCCCCCACCCACAAAAATACGGGAGCTTGCATACTTTCCACGCTGTGTGGACCCGCCCCTTGTGAAGCATCAACATTCACAGCAGACTTTGGTTTTTTTTCCCTTTTGTCACAGAAGCTTGAAAGAAATAAATCTATTATTCTTTGACAAAAATATGATTGAATGGTTGTCCAGTTCCTGCAAATTTAATCGTACGAAGATTACATCAATAAAATCTCCAATTCCATACCTTCCATAAAAAATGTCATTTTGATAAGTACTTGTAAGCGTCTCTCCTTGGATTTAGCAAATATGATTTAGCTGACAAAGTGCAAAGATTAGACTGACAATAGTATCTACGACTGTTATCTTTTTCTAGCAAATATATTTGCTAGAAAATATGTCTGAGTGTGGTTTTTAAGACTTCTAAACTGTTCTTCTAAACTGGTCTAAGAAGTATATTCTTTTTGTAGGTACATGGACTTTTTCCCTATGCCATCCAATGTCACAACAGACTTTCTATTTGAGAAGAGTGCCAACTATTTCCATTCTGAAGAAGCCCCTAAAAGAGCAGCTTCTTTGATTCCCAAAGCAAAGATTATCACTATTCTCATTGATCCATCAGATCGAGCATACTCTTGGTATCAGGTGGGAAATTTAAGAATTAATATAGGTACTATATTAAAATATAACAAATGATTGCAGGTTATTTAAATGTTTAAATATGTTTACATCCTTTCTTGTCAACTTTGCACTAAAGCTGTGAATAGAACTGTATATTCAGCCTCCAAACATAGCTCAACAGCTTTGCCAATTTATTGGAAATGCCCTGTGAGTCTCATTCAAAAAAACAGGTGTAAGTTCACCTCTCTGAAATAAGGCAGCATCTCAGCAAGACAGTTCATCAAATATATTGGACCTAAACACAGTAAAAAAAAATTAACATTTATTTCTACATAGTTTTGTATAGTTCTTTCCACTTTTTACACCAAAGTTTCTTAACCATGCTCATGGAGTCCATTCATACTATATAATGGTAGCACTCCATTCCACTGTAATTGTCATGATAACATCCCTGTGGAATCCTGGGATATGTAGTTTGGTGAAGCATTAGAGTTGCCTGGCTACCTCTCCTAAATACCCCATACTAAATTTAAAAGTACCAGGCACTGCACCATGGCATTAAAGAGAAATTTTAGCACTATTGTTGTGTAGTGTGAATGAGGACCCTGTGGTGGTTATCAAATTGGGAATATTTATTCAATTCATGTATTTCATATTAGTTGGATTTTTTCTTGTTTATATGAAATATAAGAAAAAAATAACATTTAAATGTAATTTTTATTGAATTGAATTAATCTTTTATAAGTTTATATGCATATGTATTTCTGTTGAGAGTGTCCATTCGTCTTCTAAAAGGATCTATGATTCAAAAAGGTTAAGAACTACTATCCTTTTGTGTACAGCCCATTAGCCTTTTATTCAAAGCAAGCAATGTGGCATCTTTATTGGAATTTATCATACACTTTTAAAAATACATATGCTTAATCAGACTAATCTACATAAATTAAGAGTCTTGAAATTTTACACATACTAAGTCTGGGCAGTATATAAGCAAGCAGTTCAGAAATAAAGGAGGCATTCCTGTAGACTGAGCATCTCCTTACAAGTCAGCCATCATGACAAAGAAGAATCCTTTTAATATTCTGTGTGGCCACTCTGCTTTACAACGACTGCTCTTTCTACAATATTACCTTTACAGCATCAGCGATCACACAAAGACCCAACTGCTCTAAAATTCACCTTCTATCAGGTGATCACTGCTGGCCACCATTCTTCACCTGACCTTAAGGCTCTGCAGAAGAAATGCTTGGTACCTGGATGGTATGCCACCCATATAGAAAGATGGCTCACTTACTTCCCAGCTTATCAGGTAAACAATATTTTTAAATAACTATCCCATATCTCTTTGGATGTTTTCTCAAATAATATTTTAATTAGATATTGTCCAATTGGTTAAAGAGAAAAGGGAATATATAGACAAAAAGAGAAAAAAATAACATTTTAAAAATAATAGAAATGAAAAAAGGGCAGGAAAAATAATTAACATTCAACTTCCAACTAAAGTTTGTTATACATCTTACTATAGAAAATAATTCGTTCAGCTATAAACACTATATATTTTTTCATAATAATACTTTTTGTTTCTTCTCAATTTGTTCATTTTTTAATTCTAGTAAAACAATTATGGGTTCAGTTTCAGTTGAATATTAATTTTCAGCATTTTCTGCATCAGGCTATGTATCTGGGTCCAAAATTTCTTGGCCTTCCCACAAGTAAGAAAATGTTGCAACCTGCTCACTTTTCCCATTTTGGCCAAGTTTTTTGGAATTAAATTCCTATGATACATCATTTTATAGAAATTTCCTTTAAGATCATAACGTAATGTAAATCTAACTCTCTTTGACCACATTTTTCACATTGTGCCATATATTATTTCAAAAATTCAGAGATCACTTTAACATGCACTTCTTAAAATGTTCCTCTTCCAATTCAATTTTTAACAAAAGTTTATCACTTGTCAATCAAATATTCATCATCTGCACATAACTGCATCTCAAATTCAGATTTATTCTTTTCAAAACCATACATTTTTAATTTTTTTTTATTTTTTCAAATATTTGTCTATATCTCTTTGAATATTTTCTTGTTTCTTTTGCCAAGTTGATAAAAGGTCTACAAACCAAATCCTTTTGGGAATGAATCTGGAAGTTATGTTTAGTCTGGAGAAGGGAAGATGGAGAGGTGATATAATAGCTGTCTTGAAATAGCTAAAGGGCTATTATAGATGATGGAATGACCTTGAGTTCTGCTGCTTCAGCAGATAGGATCCAAACCAATGGATTCAAATTTGAAAACAGGAGATTTTGACTAGTTAGGAAGAACTTCTGACATTGAGACCAGCTCAATAGTACAGTAGAATGTGGTGGGATACCTCTTCTGAAGGATTTTAAACAAAGGTTAAGTAGCTTCCTCTTCAATATTTTAGCAGTGGATTCTTGTACTTTCATGGGGTTGGACTGCCAATGAAGTTCACACAGGATGATGGAGCCCTCTTCAATTCAGTAATTATTGACTCTGACTCAATTCCTTTACTACTTTACTATGAAGGGCAAAATTTTGCACTTAAGGAATGTGCATTTGACAATAGTGTTCATAGAAAAGCATTGTTTGAATAATTGCCTGGATATCACAAATAGTAAGGTCTTAGAGCAGTGCTTCTCAACCTTGGGTCCCCAGATGTTTTTGGCCTACAACTCCCAGAAATCCCAGCCAGTTTACCAGCTGTAAGGATTTCTGGGAATTGTGGGCCAAAAACATCTGGGGGCTCCAGGTTGAGAACCACTGTCTTAGAGGGATATCTTGGCATAAAGTAATGGTGATAATGATTACATGGCATGCTGCTGTATTTTTCCTTCCCTTATTTTGAAATGTGTACACTTTCTGCCCCTCTAAGCTCACTGGGGTCCTAGGAGTCCCAAGCAGGGCCTGCACCATGAGCTTTCATACAAAAGGGCACAAGCCCTTTTCATTTCTTTTCATTATTGTTATGATTCACTTTCCCACTGAGATCATCTCCGATTCACAGAGTACTGTGAATCACTCTCTGTCAGCTAGAGGATGCCTCAAAATGCTTGGTCTCAAGCTACCAGCTCTCAAATCTGCAGTCCAGCAGGTTTATATCCTAGAGATTTCAGCTCAGCCATGATGGTCCTAGAGGATAACAAGCAATTAAATTATGGCACATGCCCAAAAAAACTGAGTTTCTTGCTCTATTTGTGACAGTAACTGTCACTAAACTGATTTATATTCTTCAAAGAGATGCACATATACATTATACTGTTTGCGCTTTCATCAAAGCTTCTTTTGAGTTCATTTTCAGTACGAATCACGTTTGGTTTCCTGCTGATAGATCTAATTTGTCTAGGTCTTTCAGCTTTATTTCTCTGCCTTCACTGATGTTCCAAGCAGCTTCCAATTTAATATTATTTCAGATTTAATTAGTGAGCCATTTACCTCTTTCCTGGATCATTAAAGGTGGTGATAAATATGAATGGACTTATTACTGATCCCTGGGGCACCTCTCTTCCTTTTATACACTAAGCTTCATATACATGAAAAAAATGAGCTTGAAGTTTGACAGAATATGAATTTTAAATGCAGTTTTCATAGCTAACTTTTCATTTTTTCCTCCCTCTTTTCCCCTTAGTTGCTAATTATAGATGGACAGCAACTAAGAAATGATCCAGCAATTGTGATGGACGAAGTGCAGAAGTTTCTAGGAGTTACTCCTCATTATAACTACTCAGAAGCCCTAACGTGAGTTAATTCCATGTTTTCTTTATTGAATATGCATAGTGAGCTAACATGGTATATTGGTTTAAGCACTGGGTTTTTGCTCTAGAGACCAGGGTTCAAATCCTCACTCAGCCATCGAAACCTACTAGTGTGACCTTGGAGAAATCACAAAGGAAGGCAATGGCAAACCCATTCACCATCTTCATAAAGTAGGGGGAAGAGAACCTAAGCAATTACCTGCCAGTCAGCCTGACATCAATACTAGGAAGGAATCTCAAACAGATATTAAGCAGCAGTGTACATATTTACAATGGAATGCCATGATCACTAAAAGTCAACATGGGTTTCTTTAAAACAGGTCATGCTAGGGTAATATGATTTCTTTCTCTCTGTGTTTATATGGAGCTACAGATCTGGTATCGGAAAGGAATGCTGTAAATGTATCATACCATCTTTTCAGTAAGGACCCCCATGATCTTCTTGCAAACAAACTAGTAAAATGTTAGCTGGACAATACTTCTCTTAAGTGGATTAGTAACTCATTGACCAGCTGAACCCAAAGGATGCTTACCAATGACTCCTCATCTCTGAGAAAGTAACTAGTGGGCTATCACAGGGGTTTGTTCAAAATCTTTGACAATTAATTGGATAATGGAATAGAGGAAATGCTTATCAAATTTGCAGGCGATACCAAATTAGAAGGGGTAACTAACTAATACTGCAGAGAACAAAATGAGAATTCAAAATGCCCTTAACAGATTGGAGACCTAAGCTTAAACTAATTAATTTCAATGGTCAGAACAAATGCACTGACATGGCATGGGTGAAACCAGCCATGACAATAGTACATGTGAAAGGGGTTTAGGAATCTTAGTAGACCACAAGCTGAAAAGAAGTCAACAGCATAATGCAGCAGCTTAAAAAGTCAATATGATTCTGGACTAGATCAGCAGAAGTATAATGTCTGAGGCCAGTTCACAGTCCCTCAGACTGTTGGAGGGCCAGACTATAGTTTGAAAAAAAATAAACTAATTCCTATGCACACTACACAGATTTTAATTGTAGTGCAAAAACATGAAATAATAATACAATATTTAAAATGAAGAATAATTTTAACCAACATAAACTTCCCTTCTTTTGGCTGATGAGATTGTCAAGTTAATTAGGATCATTGTCATTGTGTGTCTTCAAGTTGTTTCAGAGTTAGGGCAACCCTAAGTCTAAAGTTTAGGGTAGGGGCTGGGTAAATGACCTTGGACGGCCATTTCCAGTCCATGGGCCTTAGTTTGGGAGACCCTTGTCTAGATATGAACCTCTTCACACGGGGGTTTTGTCTCTGTACCTCTTCACACAGGGCTTTTTCAGCCCTGTTTTTGCAGTTTTGGCCAGGCTTGAATGGGGCCTACCCCCTTTCCTCCCTTTTCCCCATATGATGGGGGGAAAGGGTGATGGGGCAATGCACATTTCTGCCCTTTCTCCCATCTGATAGGGGCAGTGCCTTGTCCCGTCCCCACCACATGATGAGGGAAGAAGGGCGTGAGGGCGTGCAGGGCACAGCCCCAAAGGGCATGTGAAGTGATCCAAAGTTTAGTTCATCTTCAATATGCAATCTTTTCAAATATTTAAAGATAGCTATTATGTCATCTTTTAGCTTTCTTTTCTCCAGGCTAAACCTACCCAGTTCCATAAGCTGTTCCTCATAGGGCATGGTTTCCAGAACTTTTACCATTTTGGTGACTCTTTTCTGAACACATTCTGGTTTGCTAATATCATTCTTGAATTGTAGTGTAAGAAACTGGGCATAGTATTCTAGGTAAAGTCTGACCAAAGCAAATGGCCATATTTAAACATTTGAAAAGATGTCATATTGAAGATGGAAACTGATTTTCTGCTGCTCCAGAAACTATGACATGCAGCAAAGGGTTCATACTATAGGAAAAAAGATTCTACTTGGACATAAGGACAATATTCCTGATAGTAATTGCTATTTGACATTGGAATATGCTGTCTCAGAGTATGTTAGTTTCCTTTTTGGGAGGTTTTTAAGGAACTACTGCATGGCCATATGTCAGGAGTGCTTTGATTGTGCATTCCATCATGGCAGGGGGGTGGACTGGATGGCTTTTGTAGGCTCTTCCAACTTTATAGTTCATCCTATGATTATGATCCTGGCTTATCCTGAAGCTAGCAATCATTGTTCTCCAATTTAGACAAAACAGGACATTTTTTTTTTAGTTTCAGATAGCCTTGTTTCATTTGTTTGGTCATGTAAGGAAGAAGGAAGGGGATGAATATGAAGACAAAGGGTTTGTTTAAACCTCAGCTTATGAGGGGAATATGTAGTACTTTTACCAAGCATTATAGATCTGATTTCTCACCTTAGAAAAGGCTAACGGAACTGCACAAGAAGTGCACTAACATGCTCTTCTCTGCATCTGTATTTATATTTTATCTCAAGTCCTTTAACAGGGCTGTGATCATCTGAACTGGATTACTACATGTTTTGTTTTTAAGAGCTTTCTCCACTTCATTCCCACAGAAAAAAATCTGCACTTATATAGGAACTGTTGACATCAGGATTTCCTATTCTGGGTGTTAACAAGTTACACTTCATCTAATTCACAATAAGCCTGACAACTGGGAAGAAAATCATTTCTGTAAATCATGCTTTAAACATGTCTGTGGTGAAGTACTCTATAATGGGCAGACTCTAGGCAGACAAAGGCTGTCTCCAGTGGATTGGTTCTGCCTTTTGAATGAATAAAAAGAGTGGAATGCCTTTCCACCTCTTTGATTTGCAGCAAAAGATTCACCATCTTTTGCTGGAGAAAGAACAGAAACTACATTTCTTTTACGTGTTTGGAGACACAACAATGCCTGTGTCAGGGATACAGCTGCTGCTGTGTATATAATAAATAGTCATGTACACAAACCATTTATATTTAAACATTTATTCACTTGCCCTTAAAATGAGATTGATAACCTTAGTCTTCTCCTTTGTATGAGATCCCATTGTCTGTTTTCATACAAAGCTTTCAGAAAAGAATGGTGTCTGTTCCCAGACAGTTTTTTATTTAAGTCAATTGTGCTGTTTCTTTTCCCCCCTTTTTTTCTTTTTTGTAGTCAATGTGGCAAAACTGACTTTATCTTCTGTGAGATAAAGTCAAGTGCATTGTAAAGACATAATGGATCAAATTCACCCCTAGAGTAATTCTATTGAGCTTTCAAATGCTTTTACACCATAGCCCTTGACCTGAATGCTGTGAATTATTCCCATCTGCATCTAATTCCATATCCATGCTCTTTTTTCTCTGTCTACTCCCAATTGTGAAAAAAGATTTGTTAAAACATGTGCATTTTAATAACATTTCTTTTCCAACCCTTTAATATAAATCCAGTAAAATTGCACTGGGGTTATTTTAGCCTTTGGGTATTATTTGTTGGTTTACTGTTTGTAGTTCACTTATTAAAGCTGATAAACACCCACCTTTGGTTACTCAAAGGTGAAGACTGATTCTCCGGGTGTTTTTACATTTCCATTCACCTCAGATAGTAGTTCTAGTAATCAGGCATGAGTGGAATTGTAGTTCTGCATCATCTGGAAGTATCTTCATCCCTATTTTAAACAGTGAGAGCCAAATCTTTGAGATAAGTGGACCACAAATGAAGTCCATTTTCTGAGACATGACACTCCACCAGCACTACAACATACACACTATTATGTGCTTAATCTTAGGAGGACCATCTTGTCTCTCCGCTATTGGGGAAAGATGAATAAGGTGGCCAGCATGGGATTGACAAGAAATACCCATAAGGAATATATTTCTGAAGCAGGAGACTGTGAATTATAGCAACCCCTATTGAAATGAATGACTTCTGACAGAAGTGGTTATAGAGTTGCCCTGGTGGACCTAGAAAATTTCTAGATGCATATCTCCTGTAGGAATTTCCTATGTCCTCCAGGAAACACACTATAGAAGTACCTGGAGGACCTAGAAATTTCCTAGGGAGGACTTTTTTTGTTGGATGCAAGTAGCTGAAATAGTGGGTCTGGAGCTTGTGGATGTTGATTTTAATTAACTTTTCACAGACTGGTTCTGAAAACATGATAAGCTCTGATTTGTTTTAGGCAGCTCTTTTGGACAAACTTATTTTAATTCCTACACAGGATGTGCTATATTTCTTCACATATGAGCATATGCCAAATAACCATCATCCATTTCCAAAGACTGAAGTAGGATATAGACAGTTGGGTTGGCTATCTCAAAGGCCATATTCTCCATTCACACAGATACATTTGGTGGGGATGGGAGTGGGACTGTTCCCCATCTGTAGAACCACCTGCCAGGAGGAGCTAAGCTGACACTATTTCTGTCCTCCTTCTGGTGCCAAGCAGGTATCGTTTTATTTATGACATCTTCTAGAAGCTCTTCAGAAATGAGTTTTTAATAGGCTGATGAGATACATCTCTTCTTTCTAAAATTGGTTTAAATCAACAGGTGATTTGAAGGCACATGTGTGTTAGTGTGTTATAAGTGTCCCTATATGATGCTCTTTAAAGATCAAAAGCTGGCCAGTCAAACAAATACTGTGATTCTGTGTGCAAATTTGTGTTGATGGATCATAATGTGACCTCGGTGAATCTGGATTTGAAATAATGCCCACAAATATTGCAGGGGATCAAGGACAGTTTTGAAATTCCATACCTCATTTATTTATTTATTTATTTATTTATTTGGTACACTTGTATACCGCTAATTTCTCAGCCTAGAACGGCGACTCAATTGCGGTTTACAGCATTTTAAAAACAATCTCAGTTTAAAAAACATATACAAATACAATAACAAATTATTGGGCCACCAATAATAATCCCATATATCTCAAGTTAAAATCACAATCCAGAGTTCGTTGTCCATATTTCCTGTCCATAGTCACCAAGATTCGATTTAATTGCCACAGATTAGCCGAATGCTTGTTTGAATAACCATGTTTTGAGTCTCTTCCTAAACACCATCAGCGACGAGGCTGATCGTACCTCATACAGATGACTTTCAAGGAGATGAACGGACAAGGAAATGACTGAACTCTTATCATGACAAATAAATCGCATTCAATTAGCAACTACGTTTTCAGGCTCCTCCTAAAGACTGCCAAAGTTGGGGCATGTCTGATGTCCTTGGGCAGTGAGTTCCAGAGTTGAGGGGCCACTTGCTTTGAAGGTGTGGTAGCATAACCACAAGTTTTTTTGACCACTACAGAAAAATAGTATAATTTTGTGTGTACCGCATCTCATTATACAAGGACTTTGAAAATGGTCTTGTGTGATCACCCTGTAACTTCAATGCATTGTGGAAATTTGCAGAGAATAACTTATTTACATACCAGGGATTGTCCATAAAGAGGCTCGAACAGTTGCTGCATTCATGTATCACTTCAACCTTCAAGGAGAGGGCTCAGTTAATTTTTGTGCACCCACTGTTATCACATTTGTGTTTAATTAACAAAACAGTATATTTATTGCCTGGCTTTTGCCTCCTTTGTTCTTGGTGATGTTGGCTTCTCTTTCCTATTCTTTCCTCTTCTCAGCTGTAGACAAGAGTAGCTATACCAAGTGAACAAAGACAGCAAACAGCCAGGCAATGACTTTTTTGTTATTTCTGTTAGGCCTGCTATTTAAAGATTAACAGATATAGCAGCAAGCAAATTCTCTTTATGGGAGAATGGAGTAAGGAAAGGAGATTGTTCAGCAGCAGAAAATTGTAATGGCTGATTGAACCTGCCGTCTCTCTTCCCAGTAATTTCCATATAGATAGATAAACCTGTAAACTAGCTCACAATTTTAGCATATAACAAAGCTTGATTTTTCAAATTACTAAATGAAAGCATTCTTCAATGATATAATGATCATACGTTATATCTTTCAGCTTTGATTCACACAAAGGGTTCTGGTGTCAGCTCCTGGAAGAAGGAAAGACAAAATGCCTTGGAAAGAGCAAAGGAAGAAAATATCCTCCAATGGATTCTGAGGTAAACACTTATTCTTCATCACACTATGAATAAGACCCAACAAGATTTTTTTCAAAGTCTGACTGAATTCATAGGTATTGGTGGGTAAACTTAATTTCCCCATAGAAAATGGAAATGATAGACGTTAATTGTACCAACTATGTCATTTATTGGCCCCCTAGCTGCGAAGCAGGTTAAATCGCTGAACTGTTAAACTTGTGGACCGAAAGGTTGGCAGTTCAAATCCAGGGAGCGGGGTGAGCTTCTGCTGTTAGCCCCAGCGTCTGCCAACCTAGCAGTTCAAAAACATACAAATATGAGTAGATCAATAGGTACTGTTTCTGTGGGAAGGTGTCATGAATCTAACCTTTTGCCAGGAAGGCCGAAGCCTGGAAAGTCAGTGGCTGACATGTTCAGAGATAGACAGGAGAGCTAAGAGGCAAAAGGGAGGAGTCAGCCGGCTCCTGATTGGCTAGAGCAGTCAGGGGAGGATTTAGGTTTGAGAGGGGGAAAAGGCTCTGTCTTTTGACAAGCTGGGGAGAAGAGATTTAAACATCGAAGAGTGTAGTAGTACTTTAGGAAGAGGGAGCTGAGAAGATTTTAGACAGGGAAGGAAAACTTTTGAAGTGAGCCTTGTAGTTAGAGCATAGGGAAGGCAAAGGTTCCTGGATCACTGTACATAGGGTCAGTGTAGGAAAGCCCGTTTGCTCTGTGAGGCAGTCAGTGGACTGTTATCAGGGACACACTGTGTCAGTGTAGTGAACAGTGTGAAGCAAGGATCTCACAAGAAACAAAAGTTAAAGTCTTAAGACAAGACTGCCTGTTTAACCAAGAGGCAGTCAAGAAGAGCCAGGAAGGCATAAGGAAGGCAGAGAACAGAAGCGAACGCCGCCATTACATCGCGGCCGGCCTGCCTTCCACCTAGGCCGATAGCTTTCCAGTTAGGCCGCTAGCTTTAACAACTATAGCTTTACAGCAACTATAGCCCAACAACAACTGACCTTACCCGCGGTTGCGGACTGGACGCTGCCGCTGAAGCCACTAGAGCCGCTGGAGCCCTTGCCGCTGGAGCCTCTGCTGCTGGAGCCTCCGGAGCCTCTGCCGGACCTCCGCCGGGGCCGCCGCTGCCAACGCCAACGCCGGCAGCTCTCCTCTGGTGCGGACTGGGCGCCGCCGCTGAGGCCGCTGGGCGCCGCCGCTGAGGCCTCTGCGGCTAGGGCTTCCGGAGCCTCTGCCGGACCAACGCCAATGCCGACAGCCCTCCTTTGGGCCTAGTAGGCCCCACTGCCCCGCCCGCCTCCCTCTCGCCGCCCCCGCTGTTCGAGGGGAGATAGAGAAGACGACAACGAGGCTGGCAGCTTCCGCGAGGCCCGATAGGCAGGCGCCCTAGTGCCGATAGGCCTCACCGCTCCATCTGCCCTTCTCCCACCGATTGGGGGGAGGAGGAGAAGAAGACGAGGCCGGCAGCCGAGGCCGCCGCCAGCTGCCGCCCGGTCACGCCATCCGTAGCTGCCGCCCGGCCACGCCATCGCCGAGGCCGCCGACACCGCCGCCGCCGCTGCTGTGGGACCTCACCGGGCGTGCCTCCCTCCTGCTGTCCCGGAGAAGGGAGAGAGGGGGCTAGAGGCCGCCGCGGAGCATCACCCCCTCCCGCCGACCAGGAGGAGAAGGAAGCGAAGCCCCGCAGCGCTCCACCGCCAATCCAGGGGGAGAAGAGAGGGAACGAGGCCCCACGGCTCTTCACTGGGCCTGTTAGGCCCCGTCTCTCACTGCCCCTCCCGCTGAGGCCGCTGCCGCCTGGATTTGCCGCGCGGCCTTGGGGGTATCGCCTCTTTATCGCTGTTGTTTCCTGTGCTTTGGCGTTTGGCTTCTGGAAGGGGCGACTGCTGGAGGACCCTGTCATCCAGCTTCCGAGAGCGGGCCAGCGCATCGCAGGGCTGCTGGAATTGAGATCTGGGCTATTTGAGCTGGTCCCGACCGCACGGCTCTCCACCATCATCTATTACCTGTTGGGCAATGCAATGTGTTGACCTCTTTGGTGTTGACCCTATGTGTTGACCGAATTTGTGTTGACCTTCATGTGCTGTCCTTTGCTCTGTGTTGATTGATATTGTGATAGACCAATTGTGCTCTGTGTTGATTGATATTGTGATAGACCAACTGTGCTGACCACAGCCGTGTTGACCATCTCCGGAAGATTGAAGATCTATCCGCTGTTTAACACCAGCCATCCATAGATTACATCTTGAATTATAAGAACCTCACTTAATTGTTATCGCTGTCAACCTCTAATTAGTGTGTTTACATATTACCAACGTAATACGTCTCTCGTTGCCTTCCGCCATTAATTGGTATAAGAACGTAAGATAGCACTAGGGCGCCTGCCTATCTGCTGCTAATTGTACTGGTACTCGTGCCCTCTCTTCACCCTCTATGCCGCACTTTAGCTAGCGTTGGGAGCCAGATCTGGGTACTGCTGCACTTGTGATCCTTGCACTTTATAAATCTGCTCAACGATACGCAGATATACTTCCGACTGTGTTGCACTTTAAGACTCTGCACTTTACTAATCTCTAACTGTTAATTGTTGTGGCTGAACCACTTAATATCATCGGGATTATTATTATCCATGTGGTCCCCCATCCCCCTATTTGTGTTGCTCCTGCTTTTAGCGACCACTGGAAGGGACGGAGGAGAAAGTGGGCTGGAGCCTGTGAACAATAATGAGCTGGGGAGGGGGGAGGAGGGGAAGCAAGGGAGTTGGCAGGGACCAACAAACCAAACATCTAATGAAACAGATATTAAGACCCTGATCAGAGACCGCGGCATGGAGGGGGGGAGGTGTTCCACTAGCCGAGGGGCCCCCATAGAGGTCGTGGTGGGAAGGAGGAGATGCGGAAAAAGGAGACCTCGAATTCGGCTTAATTCGGACCGCTTATCCAAATTAATAATCCCAAATCGGTCTCCTAAGGTAAATTGGTGTAACCAGGTGAGCGGGCCCTCTGGATTGAAGGTGGTGCTGTTGAACGCCAGATCTGTCAACGGAAAAACGACCTTTATCCAGGATTTAATCCTGGACGAGCGGGCAGATCTGGCGTGCATTACGGAGACCTGGTTGGATGAAGCTGGGGGGGTGAATCTGACCCAGCTTTGTCCTCCAGGTTCTCCGTACAGCACCAACCGAGATCCGGAGGACGGGGAGGCGGGGTTGCAGTGGTCTATAGAGATTCCATCCATCTGACCAGGAGCCCCATCCCGCAGACCACAAATTTTGAATGTGTCCACTTAAAGGTGGGTGACCGGGACAGAATAGGGATTCTGTTAGTGTACCGTCCACCTCGCTGCACTACAGTCTCCCTACCTGAGCTAGCGGGGGTAGTCTCGAGCCTGGCGTTGGAGTCTCAACGGCTCTTGGTGCTGGGGGACTTCAATATCCATGCCGAGGCGACCCTCACAGGAGCGGCTCAGGACTTCATGTCGGCCATGGCAACCATGGGGCTGTCCCAACAAATATCTGGCCCCACCCATTGTGCTGGACACACATTGGACTTGGTTTTCTGTCAGGGATGGGAGCAGGGTGGCGGTGTGGAGGAGCTGTCTATCTCTCCGTTGCCATGGACTGACCACTTCCTGATCAGATTTAGGCTTACTGCACCCCCTAACCTCTGCAAGGGTGGAGGACCCATTAAGATGGTCCGCCCCAGGAGGCTTATGGATCCGAACGGATTCCTGACGGCTCTTGGGGATTTTCCCGCCTCCGCGGTAGGTGACCATGTCGAGGCCTTGGTCGCTCTCTGGAATGGGGAGATGACCAGGGCAATTGACACGATCGCTCCGGAACGTCCCCTCTCAAGTAGCCGAGCTAAACCAGCCCTTGGTTTACTGAGGAGCTGGCAGTGATGAAGCGAAGGAAGAGGGAACTAGAGAGCGTGTGGCGTTCAGACCCAAGCGAGTCAAATCGAGCACGGTTTGTGTCCTTTTTAAGGGCATACGCCGCGGCAATAAAAGCCGCAAAGAAAACCTTCTTTGCAGCTTCTATTGCGTCTGCAAAGAACCGTCCGGCGGAGTTGTTTCGGATTGTCAGAGGTCTTTTAACTCCCGCCACTTCAGGCGGGAGCCCTGACAATTCGGTCACGCGCTGTGAAGCATTTGCTCGGTTCTTTGCAGACAAAGTCGCTTTGATCCGTTCTGAGCTGGACACCATGTTAAATGCAGTCTCTGTGGATGTGACACGAGCACCTGCTTGTCCTATTTTGTTGGATTCTTTTCAGTTTGTGAAACCCGAGGATGTGGACAAGATACTTGGAGGAATGAGGCCTACCACGTCCATCCTAGACCCCTGCCCTTCCTGGCTTCTAAAGGAGGCCAGAGTGGGATAGGCTGAGTGGGTGAAGGTGGTAGTTAATGCCTCCCTTTGGGAAGGCAACATTCCAGCGTGCTTAAAACAAGCTGTGATAAAACCGCTGTTGAAAAAGCCATCACTGGACCCCCCTCAATTCGACAACTTTCGGCCTGTTTCCAATCTCCCCTTTTTGGGCAAAGTCATGGAAAGCGTGGTGGCCTCACAACTCCAGGTATTCTTGAGAGACACGGATATTCTGGATCCGGCACAGTCTGGTTTCAGACCGGGACATGGTACTGAGACGGTCTTGGTCGCCTTAGTGGATGATCTGCGCCGGGAGCTAGACAGGGGGAGTGTGTCCCTGTTGGTGCTCCTGGACCTCTCAGAGGCCTTCGATACCGTCGACCACGGTATCCTTCTGGGGCGCCTTGCGGAAATGGGTCTTGGGGGCACTGCTCTGCAGTGGCTCCAGTCATTTCTGGAGGGTCGTACCCAGAAGGTGTCATTGGGGGACTGCTGTTCAACACCACAGCCTTTGACCTGTGGGGTTCCACAGGGTTCTATACTGTCCCCCATGCTGTTTAATATCTACATGAAGCCGCTGGGTGAGATCATCCGGAGTTTCGGGGTGCGGTGTCATCTGTACGCAGATGATGTCCAACTCTGTCACTCCTTTCCACCTGCTACTAAGGAGGCTGTCGAGGTCCTGAACCGGTGCCTGGCCGCTGTAATGGTCTGGATGAGGTCGAACAAACTGAAATTAAATCCAGACAAGACAGAGGTACTCCTGGTCAGTCGCAAGGCCGAACAGGGTATAGGGTTACAGCCTGTGCTGGACGGGGTCGCACTCCCCTTGAAGGCGCAGGTTCGCAGCTTGGGTGTGACCCTGGACTCATCCTTGAGCCTGGATCCCCAGGTTTCAGGGGTGACCAGGGGAGCATTTGCACAGCTTCGGCTTGTGCGCCAGCTGCGCCCGTATCTTGGGAAGTCTGACTTGGCCACGGTGGTACATGCTCTGGTCACATCCCGTCTCGACTACTGCAACGCTCTCTACGTGGGGCTGCCCTTGAAGACGGCCCGGAAGCTTCAGCTAGTCCAGCGCGCGGCAGCCATGTTACTAACGGGAGCGGGACGCAGGGAGCACACAACGCCCTTGTTGTCCCAGCTCCACTGGCTGCCGATCTGCTACCGGGCCCAATTCAAGGTGCTGGTGTTATCCTACAAAGCCCTAAACGGTTCCGGCCCAAAATACCTTTCGGACCGCATCTCGGCCTATGAGCCCACGAGGGCCTTGAGATCATCCGGGGAGGCCCTTCTCTCGATCCCGCCCGCCTCACAGGCACGTCTGGCGGGGACGAGAGAGAGGGCCTTCTCAGTGGTGGCCCCCCGGCTGTGGAACGCCCTCCCTGCTGACATCAGACAGGCGCCCTCCCTTATGGCTTTCCGTAGGAGCCTAAAGACGTGGCTATTCGGGAAGGCATTTAATTGAGACCTACACGAATATGGTAATGACATCTGGAACGGACCTTGGATTATGAGATTGGCTATGTCGATATGTTATGATGGCGCGGATTTATTATTGTAATTTAGATTAATGTGTAATTTGGTTGTCGATTTATTGTATGCTTTTGTAGACTGTTTTTATATGTTGTGCACCGCCGCGAGTCGCCCCAGGGCTGAGAGCGGCGGTCAACAAATGAAGTAAATAAATAAATAATAAATAAATAACCAGCTAAGCCTCAGTAACTGCATTAAGATTTTGTACCACTCTTTTTAAGAGTTGATTTGTTCACCAAGTTTCAATAAACCTGTTGCTTATTTCATCTTTAAACTGGTGTCTGCCTCGGTCTGTCACAATCATCAGATCTCAGCAAGTCTAAAAACAATTCTATTTCAGTCCAGTCAGCAAAAGAAGCAGTTATTAAAGAAGAACTAAGAGCTTGAATGTACTTTGCCTCTTTCACATTCACACTCATGTTTTCCTCAGACATTAATTGAGGTGGTGGCGGCGAAACTACCAATTACATCAGTAATTAACCTCGTTAATACAGTTGGTCACTTGATAGTAATGCTGAGGTGGGATAAGAGAGTCTTTCCCCCTTTGTCACAGCCATTTTATCCTTGTTAAAGTAGTGTCCAGCTGAACGTTAACGCTTTACACCGCTGGTAGAGGTGGGATTAGTTGTCCCCTCTGCCAAGAGAATGTTGATCTTTATTACACTGGTGGGCAGTGGTGGGATTGCTTGCCCACCCTGCCTAGCTGTTGTGATCTTCGTTATAGAAGGTAACGGCGTTTCGTGCAGTCATGCTGGCCACATGGCCTTGGAGATGTCTATGGACAATGACGGCTCTTTGGCTTAGAAATAGAGATGAGCACCAACCCCCAGTCAGACATGACTAGACTTAATGTCAGGGGAAACCTTTAGCTATGTCATTTATTTCACAATTATCCATCCAAGTGGCATTAGTTTTTTATGCATTAAGCCTCTCTTACACAAAAATATACTATACGATATGATGTTAATATATTTTTTTCATTACTTGGAAATATTCAGAATTTTATAGGTGAGCTTTCTTAAACATTCTTTGAGTATCTGCTCTATCAGCTGTAGCATAGAGAAAAGACTCCAATTTTAGACTTGCTCTTCTTGATTTCCGCCAATCAAATACTTGTCTTCAGAGCAACCATTTCAGGTCCCTCTTGGTAGAATTCAAATACATAGCCATGTTAGTCTGGCTCAATATGCAAGGAGTCCTTTGAGACGTACTGAGAGAAAGAATACTGAGAGTATTTGATCAGTTGTCAGAGTGGAACTTGCATCTGATGAAGTACACTCGGTCTATGAAGCTTATGCTACAAACATTTTTCTCTCAATAAGTCTCAAAGGTGCTACAAGATACTTTGCATGAGGTCCCACTTGTTAATTTTGAATAACCAACTCCCAGGCCATCAAACTGTTCTCGGTTAGAATGAGTGAATTAATTCAATCATGTTAGCTTCAGATTTGCTTTGAGCATATAAATGTACATTTTTTGTTCCTGAATTTCCAAGCGTATGTATAAGAGTACATGGTAGGACTCTTTCCAAAATGATATTACTGAAATTAGTTATTTAATGAATTGAGTCACCTGACTTTTTCTTCTATAGATATACAGTTCTAGCTGCTAGAGAGGAAAGGGAGCTCATAGTCTGAATGCATGAATGTGGATAGTTCCCCATCCTCTTTGCTGAGCGTGACAAACCTGAAAGGTTACACATGTCTCTGTTTTAGTTATTCATGTCCTAATATTTATTTCCAAATGTGCTTTTAATAAAATGCATAGTATACTGTTCAGATCCAAATAAAAATAATATGAGGCACCATAGTATTTCCTCAAATAACCTGTCACCTTTTGTGTCCATCAGTGCAGGGTTTTCCTGTCAAGCTACTACAGAGATCATAACGTGGATCTGTCAAAGCTTCTCCACAAATTGGGACAACCCCTGCCATCATGGCTGAGACAGGAGCTGCAAAAAGTGAGATAGCACTGGGGAAAAGAAGTTTCATATAAGAGCTCTCCTTCACTTCAAATGTAATCAGACCTAAAGTCTCCAGAAACCGGCGGAAGACTGTTGGGAAATATGTCTCTTCAAAAGAGAACAAAGAAATGAGGTTTGTGACATGGGTTGGCAAGCAGTCTACACAAGCATCCGGGGAGAGATGGATTTCAGAACAATTTCTGGGTTTATGAAGATTCTAATAGAGTACAATATACCAGAAGGTGCCAGGCGCATTAAAATGGGAGCTGCACAGCTGTCCAGGTGTACCCCTATATAATTACCACTCATTTCAGTGGGGCTGCTACAGAAGAATTTGAGATGATTGCGCCTATGGAGTGTTGTGCGTCTGAGTGAATGACAACTGGTTTCAGCTTCAAAGGCAAAGATACACAACTGTTCAAAAATGCTGCGCTATTTACAGTTTTAAATATTATATTCATATCAGTTGAAGAATATTGTGTCTCATGTCAGTTTTGTAACCCACTGTCTGCCTGCTTAGTTTTTAAATTGCTTAATTGGTGTGTCTTATATTATTATTTTAATGAGGAAAGATGTAGTACACAGTGCCAGATGTGCCCCCCACTTTCCAAGTTGATTTCTAAAATAGGGGAAAAAATTATAAAGAATTATAAAGTTTGGAATGAAAGTACACATTTTAGGAATATACAATTAGTGAAAATAGAACCATTAGCTTTTTTTCATGTCAGGAGTGATTTGAGAAACTGCAAGTCACTTCTGGTGGAGAGAATTGGCCGACTGCAAGGACGTTGCCCAGGGGATGTCCAGATGTTTTGATGTTTTAGCATCTTTTGGGAGGCTTCTCCCATGTCCCTGCATGGGAAGCTGGAGCTGATAGAGGGAGCTCAATCCACTCTCCCCGGATTCGAACCACTGACCTGTCGATCTTCAGTCTTGCTGGCACAAAGTCTTGCCCTTTGCACCACTGGGGGGCTTCTTACCATTAGCTAAATAAGCAGGAGGGATCTACGAGAAGAAATTACAATACGTAATAGATCTGTGTGATTAAATTATTTTGCCCCAATCTATAGAGCTGGGAATAGCTGTAACACTGTGGACCCGATATTTTCTGGAAAAGAGTGCTGTTGGGATAGAAGCGTGCCTGAATTGATTCTCTGTCTATCCAGCAATTAATGGAGCAGGGACTCCACATTTAGCTCAGGGCCAGCCCTGCAAATTCAACCCAGATTAGGATTCTTCCTAATCATGCTTCCTTATGTATTTCATGTGCGTTTGTAGGATCAGGGCTTTGGATGCTGAAAGAAACAAGACATTGACACCACTCACAAATTGTTTTATTTGCATAGAAGAACTTGTAAGCTATGCAAATGAACCCAACAGGGTCTATGTTTTTTGTGAAGTAAAATGATTTAAAACGGTAGAATCCAAGTGTTGCACACATCAGACTGTGAAAGTATAATGCCAGTGCAATTCATGTGGTGTCTATGTATTAATTTGGCTAGCTTTTGTCACTACAATGGGATAAGTAAACATATTCTGGATGTTTTCAGCTGCCTGAAATGGGAAAATATGCCACTGACATCAGATTTAGTAATCTTTCATCAACAGAAGAAGGATTATGACTTATCACTTTAAATAATCTGATTTAGTAATTTACTGTTACTGTTGTCTATGTTGGTTGATATTTTTGTTGGGTTTTTTTCTTCTTCTGTGCAATCTTAAATGCTTAAAAGTACATGAAAGGACCGTTTTTATTAAAATGTGCTCAGACTTTAGAAAGTATTAAGCTTTTTTCATATAAGGAGCAACTTGAGAAACTGCAAGTCACTTTTGCTGTGAGAGAATTAGCCGTCTGCAAGGACATTACCCAGGGGACGCCCAGATGTTTTACCATCCTGTGAGAGGCTTCTCTCATGTCCCCATATGGAAAGCTGGAGCTGACAGAAGGGAGCTCACCCTGCTCCCCAGATTCGAACCACCAACCTTTCGGTCAGCAGTCCTGCCGGCACAAGGGTTTAACCCATTGCGCCACCGGGGGCTGCAGTATTAAGCTTATAAACACATTGTATAGCTATTATTCTGATTTTCAAAATTTTTCCATTACTGTAAGTTACCTCTCCATATCCACAAATTCAACTATCTACAGCTTAAAAATACTAAAAAAAAAAATGAAAAAGCAAACATTGATTTCCCCATATTAGATAAGCACCTTGAGTATGCACAAATGTTGGTCCTGGACAAATGCCAGTGGATACCAAGGGTCCGCTGTATTTAAGACCATTTACTGTTTTCCTAAAAATTAGCTATTTATTTGGTTCAGGCATACAATAACCCATATTGTTCCTGAATAGGCTTGTATTCCATTGCACTGCAAAAGCATTCAAAAATCCAGAATGGCATTTAATACATTGTCTTTCTTTAAATGGCAGCTCAAATCCCAGCATATATTTTTAGACATTTAATTTAAGCTAGGCATTTCTTGTGAAAGAGACATTGAAAGCTGCCTATCTGAAACCGTTGTGCTAGTAGGAAATGAGTATGGATATTTGTAGCAAGTATTAATGGGAAAGGAAGAGAAAAACAAACCAAAAACAGATGTCAGTCGATCAATCCAAGCAAACGCCACGGTTCCGCTGCATTATTTGCCTAGTCCTATACATAATGAAAAAGAAGTGGAAGCAATCTTCAGAATATATTGTACAGATTATACTTTGATATTGCTGAAAAATGTGAAGCTTCCTCAGGAAGAGTAAGATAGATATTTCTGTGTTTATAGATGTAATACTCTTCTCATTCATATTGAATGAAAATTGCTGGAAATGTTTTTTCTCCGTTTTTTAAAAAATAAAGTACAAAACTAGATATTATTCTGAAAGTGGCATGATTTCTGCTGTGCAACAATAAACTCTGATAAGAAAATGGCCTTGGCACTTGGTAGTGACTTTATTCCAATTTACAGATTTCTTTACTATTTCTCCAGCATTTATGGAAACTTGACACCAAGATATAACATACTCAAGAAGCCTGGCTGAGGTTTTTATTTCTGTTTTTTTAAAGCTGTCTGCTGTTTCCAAGTAGATAACATTATTGGGCTGCTTGTGTTTACTATCTTGAGACTTGTTTTTAACTTCAGTGCCGGATTTTCTTTCAAGCACGCTACAACTCCACATTCATACTATTACAAAAAGGAAAAGTAGTAGAGATACTTCTAGCAATTACATTAAATCGTGAAATGTGATACAATAAAAAGAGCCCAGCACTTGCACTATTATTTAAAATAGATACCTACATCCTGCTGCTGCCTGAATAGAAATTGTTTATATAGCAGCAGGTGGGAAGGGCCTCATAGTTACTGATAGAGAGAATGTTTGCATGCAAAGGCTTCTCTCTCCATATAGAGCCGTGGTTCCCAACCTGTAGTCCGTGGACCACCAGTGGTCCGCAAGAACTAAAATATGGTCCGTGGCCTCACCATATTACACAATTGCAACGAGAGCAACTGGTCTCGTGAGACCCTCTTATAGTGCTGAGGCTTATTAAATATGGATTTTGTGGGCGAGCAGATGAGGACTACAGGATGGCATATGTTCTGTATCAGAAACTAGAGCTAATGTGGTCTATCTAATGCAATTTTCTGAATCAGCACCCCAAATAACCAGACCAAATCTAAAGTTGACCAAAAACTGATTTGTGACCCTTTTGGTACTAATGTTGGAAAGTGGTCCCTGGTCAAAGTAGTCCCTGATCAAAAAAAAGGTTCGGAACTACTGATATAGAGAATCTTCAGGAAGAATTTGACATCGAAAGCATATGCGACTACTATTGGAAACATCTCAGTAATACCTATAAAATCAAGTTCACATTATGATGACAGCACACTATTGTTGCACTTACTTGTCAACAAGTTATGACTTCAATTTATGAAGTTCGTATAGAATCATAGAATCGTAGAGTTGGAAGAGACCACATGGGTGGTGGCCCCTCGGCTGTGGAACTCTCTGCCTAAGGATATTAGATCAGTCCCCTCCCTCCTTCAGAAAAGAGTAAAAACTTGGCTCTTCGAGCAAGCATTTGGAACCTCGGAATAAATAGACAAACTTGAATCGGAAAATGACCCAGGAATGGCCGAAGACAATGGAACGGATGAGGATTTGAATAAGTGGACATAGTTTTTTTAAACTGTTATTATGCACTGTCTTTATGTTTAAATGCACTATAATGTTCTTTTTTGCTTATCAATGTATGTATTTTATGGCATCGAATTTTGCCAACTGTGTGTGCCGCCCTGAGTTGCTTTCGGGCGAAATAGAAATAATGTAAATAAATAAATAAATAAATGGGCTATCTAGTCCAACCCTCTATCTACCATACAGGAAAAGCACAAAGTACCCCTGACAGATGGCTATCCAGCCTCTGTTTAAAAGTTTCCAAGGAAGGAGCTTCCACCACTCTCCAAGGCAGAGAGTTCCACTGCTGAACAGCCTTAACAGTCAGGAAGTTCTTCTTATTGTTCAGGTGGAATCTCCCAATTTGAACCCATTGCTCTGAGTCCTACTTTCCAACGCAGCAGAAAACAAACACTGCCATACAATCCAGATTATATGAGTCTGCACTGCCATATAGTTCAGTTCAAAGCAGATAATCTGGATTTTATATGGTAGCGTAGAAGGGGCCTTAGTTCTGGTTCAGCTCCCCAATCCCTTAAAATTGTTTTACTTTTCCTAATTTGGTGTCATCTGCAAATCCGATAAGCATATCCTCTAGTCCAGTATCCCAGTCCCTGATAATGCTGTTGAATTGCATTTAGGTTACAGCAATAATTATGACAACTTTGTGAATGTATTATATCCTTTTGTTTTGTTGATTTGATTTGTTCATAGAGGTCATTGAGATTATTTGAGATTTGGGGACAACATGTTCTAGCTGAAAATGTTGTGGGTGATCCTTTACAGGAATTGCCTTTCTTTCAGGGCCCTTCCACACAGTCATATAACCCAGAATATAAAGGCAGAAAATCCCACTATTTCTGCTTTGGACTGGGTTATCTGAGTCCACACTGCCATATATTCCAGTTCAAAGCAGATAATGTAGGATTTTATTCAGCTGTGTGGAAGTGGCCTCAGATATAATTTGGCTGGTGCTTTCTACTGCAGCGAGTAATAGTATTATCCAGTGGTTTAAAATGTTAATAGTCTGCATGTACAGGCAGTCCCCAAGTTACAAACATCCGACTTACAAATGACTCATAGTTAAGAACAGAGGTGAGCCAAGAGGAAGTGAGAGAAATCTATCCCTTGGAAGGGAACTACGATCATGAAAGAGATTTCATGTGGAAAAGGTGTCTCCACTGAAGCTTTATCACCAACCTTAGCTATAGATATAGATACAGATATAGATACAGATGACATAGATGAGAGAGAGAGAGAGAGAGAGAGAGAGAGAGAGAGAGAATCTGTGAAGCCAGAGCACCACCCAGTGGCCAGGCTGGTTTGTGCATTAGTGTTTGTGAAAAAGGCTACATCATAAAAAGCAGCATTTGCTAGTCAATGTTTTATGAATAAAACATCTTGAAATGGATATAGTGTCAACCAAAGATATATGTATATGCTGGAATTCAATAGAGTTTCATATCAGTCCTCTACTTCTTGTTGCACCTCATACAAGCCCAAGTTTTCTACAGGAAAGGTTTATTCGGATTATAGCTATACTGTCCTCCATGTTCATTGGGGTTAGAGGCACAATTCAACGCAAAAGTGAAAAACTATTAATAGAAAGATTTTAAAAATCTGACAGAACACTTGTCTAGGAACTTCTAGGTTCTCCAGCACGACTCTATGGTCAACTTCCACCAGATTCACTCTGAGAACCTACAAATACCTAAAGAAGTGTATCTCTATGAATCTCTAGGTCCTCCAGCAAGACTGTATGGTCAGTTTCTGATGAAGCCGATCATAGATTTGCACTGGGAACATTTAAAAATGCTTTTAAAGACTGAGTCAGAAGGTGGGATTGGTGTTTATGTATTTGTTTTAAAAAATAACTATTACATTTAATTCTATTTTCATGTTTATATGTTCTTGGTTTTAAATTGTACTGTGGTGTTGAAGGAAAGTTCTGAGAGTGCCTTGGACTGCGAGAAGATCCAACCAGTCCATCCTCCAGGAAATAAAGCCCGGCTGCTCACTGGAGGGAAGGATACTAGAGACAAAGCTGAAGTACTTTGGCCACATCATGAGGAGACAGCAAAGCCTAGAGAAGACAATTATGCTGGGGAAAGTGGAAGGCAAAAGGAAGAGGGGCCAACCAAGGGCAAGACGGATGGATGGCATCCTTGAAGTGACTGGACTGACCTTGAAGGAGCTGGGGGTGGTGACGGCTGACAGGGAGCTCTGGCGTGGCCTGGTCTATGAGGTCACGAAGAGTCAGAGACGACTGAACGAATGAACAACATATATATATATTTACGACATTTATATGCCGCCCTTCTCACCTCAAAGGGGACTCAGAGCGGCTTACAAGGTATATATACATACAATATATTATTAACATAGTACAATGTCAGTTTTAAATATTGCTATATTGCACTATATCAATTATACTGTATACACACACATACACACACACACACACATACATACACACACATTGTTAGCTGTTAATAAGGCTGGATCTACAATGCCATATAATCCAGATTATCAAAGCAGATTATTCACATTGCTTTGAACTGGATTATATGAGTCTACACTGCCAAATAATCCAGTTCAAAGCAGATCATCTGGATTTTATATGGCAGTGTAGAAGGGGCCAGAGTCTACATTGCCATATATTCCAGTTCAAAGCAGAGGATCTGGGTGGTCTGCTTTGATCATCTGGATTATATGGCACTGTAGATCCAGCATTAGACCCCACCTACACTGCCATCTAATCCAGATTATCAAAGCATATTATTTACATTATCTGCTTTAAACTAGATTATATGAGTCTACACTGTGATATAATCCAGTTCAAAGCAGATAATCTGGATTTTATATGGCAGTGTAGGAGTTGGCGTCTACATTGGTTTTAAATTGTACATTTTTATTTTATTTTTTAACATTGTTAGCCATTATGAGGCTAGATCTACACTGCAATGTAATTCAAATTCTCAAAATAGATAATCCACATAATCTGCTTTGAACTGGATTATTAGTCTACACTGCTTTTTAATCCATATTATTAAAACAGAAAATCCATATTATCTGCTTTGAACTGGATTATGAGTCTACACTGCCATATAATCCAGTTCAAAGCAGAGAATCTGGATTATGTGCTTTGACAACCTGGATCATTTGGCAGTGTAGCTCCAGCATCAGACCCCTTCTATACTGCAATATAATCTAGGTTATCAAATCAGATAATCCAGATGATCTGCTTTGAACTGGATTATATGGCAGTGTAGACTCACAATCCATTTCAAAGCAGATAATGTGGATTATCTGTTTAGATAACCTGGATTATATGGCAGTCTAGAAGGCATCTGATGCTGGATCTACACTGCCAAATAATCCAGATGATCTGCTTTGAACTGGATTGTGAGTCTACACTGCCATATAATCCAGTTCAAAGCATATCATCTGGATTATCTGCTTAGGTAACCTGCATTGTATAGCAGTATAGAAGGGGTCTGATGCTGTTTCTACCCTGCCAAATAATCCAGATTATTGAAGCAGAAAATCCACATTATCTGCTTTGAACTGGATTATGAGTCTACAGTGCTATATAAAGAGCTGGATTATCTGCTTTGATATCCTGGACCATATGGCAGTGTATATCCAGCATCACTGCCATACAACCCATATAATCCAGATTAAATCAGAAAATCGACATTATTTGCTTTGAACTAGATTAAGAATCTACACTGCCATATAATCCAGTTCAAAGCAGAGAAACTGGATTTCATTGTGTGCAGGGGCAAACTTTTGAACTTCAACTCCCACAATTCCGGCTGTTAGGAATTGTGGGAGTTGTATTGCAAAACACCTGAAGGGGTGAAGTTTGCCCATGCCTGATCTACACTATAGAAATGATGTAGTTTGGCATCACTTTAACTCCCTTGGCTCATGGCTATGGAATGGCTATAGTTCTTTAGCTTTGTCTACTCAAATGCTGATGTTTTATCAAACTACAATTCCCATGGTTCCATAGCACTCAGCCAACGTCATTAATTGGGCAGTGTAGAAGAGGCGCCCTCTGCCTGTCACCCCTTTCAACTCCCAAGAGGAAGTGGGAGACCTAGAGCGCATGCGGAGCGCTCGAGGGGCCCCTCCTTCCTCGAGGCCGCCAAATGGGGCGTGGCCTTCCTTCTGGTATAAAAGCCTCTCTGAGGGGCGGCCTTCTTTCTTTCCGGAAGCGCTTCCAGAGTTGCGAGGAGGAATGTGAGAGGGAGGAAGAGAGAGAAAGAGCGTTATACAGCTCGGTTGTAGGTTTTTGCTGTTTCCTCTCAGGGGAGGCTGTATTGCGGCCTAATATAGTACTAATCCTGCTTTTACTGGAAGGATTTTTCTTTCAGAGGGAGGGAGGGAGGGAGGAGGCCTGAAGAGAGTGTAATGAGAGTGGCCTTGGCGCATGCGCCTTGAGGTCCGTTTCTGAGCGGGGGGAGATTATGAGGGAGTGAGATATGAGTACTAGATAAGGATAGGCCCTGTTCGTAAAACGAGGCACAGGACAAGCGTAACCGAAGGTAAGGAAACGTTGCGTTCGTGGGGGAAACGGGACGAATCAATCGTGCGCCGATAGTGGCAGTTTGGGCCTTGTTTGCGCGTTACATCATCACGTGGAGGGGGGGGTGAGCTCAGGGCGCATGCGCAGAAGGCGCGCAGAAGACCATGCTTCCATGGGACCTGCCAGTATGGCAGCCTCCCTTCCTAGTCATGGTAGAGAAATCCGCAACCTTGCTTTTTGGCATGGCTCCCATCCATTCAATTGGGGGTGAGACTCTGACTTGGGCAAGGCACAAAGTATATATAATACAATACTATATAAGTATATTTATTTATTGTCGAAGGCTTTCATGGCCGGAATCCATGGGTTGTTGTAGGTTTTTCCGGGCTATATGGCCATGTTCTGGAGGCAATTTTTTTTTCTCCTGATGTTTCGCCTGCATCTATGGCGAGCATCCTCAGAGGTAATCCTCATGTAGCATCCTCATTACCTCTGAGGATGCTTGCCATATATGCAGGTGAAACGTCAGGAGAAAAATTGCCTCCAGAACATGGCCATATAGCCCGGAAAAACCTACAACAACCCATATTTATTTATTTATTATTTAAACTTATATGGCGCCACTCCCCTGGGGCTCAGAGCAGCTTACAAGAACAGCTAAAATCTAACAAAATTTAAAAGCAATTTAAAACAATTTAAAAACAACACTATCAAACATTAAAAGCCTGTCGAAACAGGTATGTCTTACATGCCCTGCAGAAAGCTGGTAAGCCCCGCAAGGCACGGACTTCAGGTGGCAGACTATTCCAGAGTGATGGTGCCACTGCTGTGAAGGCTCTGCATCTGGTTGCTGTTAGACGCAAGGTCTTGACACTGGGGGCTTCCAATAGATCTTGGTCCTCAGAACAGAGGGATCTCTGGGGTTGGTAGGGGGTGAGGCGGTCCCTCAGATATATAATGTAGTATATATAATATGTATTATATAAGTATATATAATACAATACTTGGACTGCGAGAAGATCCAACCAGTCCATCCTCCAGGAAATAAAGCCCGACTGCTCATTGGAGGGAAGGATACTAGAGACAAAGTTGAAGTACTTTGGCCACATCATGAGGAGACAGCAAAGCCTAGAGAAGACAATCATGCTGGGGAAAGTGGAAGGTAAAAGGAATAGGGGCCGATCAAGGGCAAGATGGATGGATGGCATCCTTGAAGTGACTGGACTGACCTTGAAGGAGCTGGGGGTGGTGACGGCCTACAGGGAGCTCTGGCGTGGGCTGGTCCATGAGGTCTTGAAGAGTTGGAGATGAATGAACAACAAATTAATATATTATAATGTATGTATTTATATTACATGTGATATTACTAATAATATTTGTGATGGCACACTGGGGTTTGAAGTAAAACTATATGTCTGGCTATTCCCCAGTGGCTATCTGTATACCCTCTGATGTTCTTTATTTCTTTAAAATAAGACTCTTGAGATAGGATTAAAGCCAAACAAATAAGTTTACTAGACGCAAAGGCAAAGTGAATTTCAGTCAGAGTTTATGAAAGGTGAATCAAAGTAAAATATTACAAAGACAAAGTTGTTGATTGATCTGGTAATAAACACTTTGTAAATATGAGATAAAATATTTGGCTATTGGCAACAGTAAGGTACTAGGCTATTGAAATAATACAGAACTAAATGGTAAAGTTCAGATCTGTAAAACTATATGGTAAAAGTACAAGCTATATTGGCCTTATGGTATAATAATAATACTTTATACCCCGCTACCATCTCCCCAAGGGACTCGGTGCAGCTTAAATAAGTGGTAAAGTGCATTTTGAGGGCGTTTTGCTGAGAATTTTCCTTATTCTTGGAAGGCACACTGGAACAGCCACGTTTTCAGGCTCCTCCTAAAGACTGCCAGAGTTGGGGCATATACACGGCTATTATGGTCAGTACTAGCTATGCTGATAGTATGTACAAAGCTATGCTGGCAATAGAAAGGTAGAAGCTATAGTGACTATGAGGTGTGTACTAGTGTATAAATCTATAAGGTATGTACGTGCTATAGGATGCCTGTTTTTAGATTGCCAAGCCAAAAACCCAGATTATTTCTGGCCTTTTTTCTCATAGCTCTGCCCCAGAAAGAATGGAGGGGAAAGACCTTTCCGCTAAGTTCTGAGCCAGCAGGGCTAAACCATCAGAGCTAGGCCTCTAGGAGGATTTTAAACTCCACCCCTAAAAGCACAAATGGAACAGTCCACCCAAAGAGAGGCCAAAACAAGGAAATGAACTGAGGAGGGAAACGATCTTAGGCCAGGGGTCCTCAAACTAAGGCCAGGGGCTGGATACGGCCCTCCAAGGTCATTTGCCTGGCTCTTGGTCAGGATCAACCTAAGTCTGAAATGACTTGAAAAGCACACAACAACAACAATCCTATCTCATCAGCCAAAAGCAGGCCCACACTTCCCATTGAAATACTAGTATATTTGTATTTAAAATGGTTCTTCATTTTAATTATTGTATTGTTTTGAAGTGTTTTTTGCACTACAAATAAGATACGTGCAGTGTGCATAGGAATTCATTCATGCTTTTTTCAAATTATAATCCGGCCCTGCAACAGTTTGAGGGACTGTGACCTGGCCCTCTGTTTAAAAAGTTTGAGGACCCCTGTCTTAGGCCAAGACATCACAATATTACAATACAATGGTATAGTACACTATAGTAATATTTAATACTGATTTTGTACTATGCTAATAATATAATATATTGTATGTATGTGTATATATATGTGTGTGTGTGTGTCTTGTAAGTCGCTCAGAGTCCCCTTCGGGGTGAGAAAGGCGGCATATAAATTTTGTAAATAAATAAATAAGCTTATTCATACAATAGCATGTAAAAGGAGTTCAGCGCTTGCAAACTTGCATAGGGCTGTATCTTCTAAAGGAAGTCAGTTAAAGCTATTTTTGCCTCAAATGGAGGGTGAGAAGAGAATCCTCTTCAGCAGAATAAGCATCACACGTTTAAATGCAGGAAATGAAGTTAGGTATTTGCTCTCTTTGGATGTGGCCCCTGTATGAAAGGCTTCCTATACCAAGCTCAAAGGAACCATAGGTATAAGGGTATCCCAATGCAAAGCACATTGCAGAAGACCAACCTTGAAGTTACCAGCGCATGCACTACAATCTTCAGGTTTTCCAGATCTAGGAAGGAATAACCTCATTTGGCAGGATAACCACACGTTTAAATGTAGGAACTGAAGTTAGGTATTTCCTCTCCTCTCTTTGAACGTGGCCCGTTAGAAAGGCTTTCTAAACCAAATTCAGGAAAGGTAGATCAGCATCTATTGATACTGAATATAATTCTGTTGTAATTATCAAATACTTAAAATTTGTATCCATGTATATAAACCAACATGCACAATTTAAGGCAGATCTTGACCCGTATTTTGCAGTTGATCACCCTGAACAGAACCACTTATTGAAAAGAATTGTTCTGAAGAAAGACTGTTTTGTCCTGTGGTGAGATCTGCCACAAAGTTTCCTTTCTTTAGAAGTTTATCCTGAACATGAGAGCAACATTAATAGCTTGTGTGAAACTTTCGCTTGAGTTCTGTCTTCCCTTCTCAACTGCTTTGGATCACTGGCAAGACCATGAATCCCTTTGAAATTAATCTCAGCAGTGATTTGGCAGTCATGTTACTAAAGATGTAAAATGCAAGATGTTTAAGAGAAAATGAATTACTATCTGTAATATCCTTTTGTGATTGGCATTTCAACAAGTACATGAGTCTTAAATATCTAACAGTTGTCTGGAATCCTGTTTCCAATACTTATTAAGAGGGGAAGCTGATAAGTCTTTGGCTCTGTGTTCTTTTTTTGTTTCTATGGTAACAAATGTTACATCACATAAAAGCCTATATTTTCAAAATTTTGTGTTTTTAGCTTATGGCAACAGTGATCTAAACACGTGGGAAAACAAAATGGCAGTCTAAGGCAATATTCACAGCAAATGAAAGCAGATGAGTGATAAAATTCTTGTTTCTGCAAGGAAAGTCTGCAAAGGATATTCATGGTGATATGTCACAGACATTGGGGAATCAATGCCCTTCATATTCTATAGTTTAGAACTGGGTTGCCAAATTTAAAACTGGTCACTTCAGCACCAATGATGAGGAACATCCTGGACGACAGAGTGGGGTTGTTGTTCCGGAGATGATGTATGCTGTGCACAACATCATACTGGAGAATCCGCAAATTTCAGCTAAAGGAATAGCAGACATGGGGATTTTTTGTGAACGTGCTTGTGTCATTATCCATGAACATTTGAACATAAAGAAGCTATCTGCAAAATGGGTCCCCAAATGTTTGACAACAGATCAGAAAAGCATACAAACTTAATGTTCTATTTTTCTATTTGCAGGGAGGATGTGCTCGCAGTTCTGAGTTTGAAGAATGGTGATGCTTATTACATAAACAACAAACTTTCCAACCTCTGAAATTGTACATGCCCTAAAGGGTTAGATCAGCCAGTTCATCAATGGAAGATATGTGAATTTTAGTGAAAATATTTTAGCTGTAAAATAAAATAATTGAATTGTTGAAACAAGTATTTTGATACCTTTACATTAATCCTTACATACGTGTGAGAGTAGTTCTCACTAACTGAATATCCTTAATATTACTTGGATATACGAGGGTTGAATGAAAAGTAATGCCTCCACCTTCGCAACTCCTCAACAGATGACGGTACTGGTATGTGAAAGGTACTGGCTTGTTCAGTAGATGCTCCTCTACAGTTCCATTTTGACAGGAAGCCTTAGCATTGAACAGTTGTGTAGTTAAAGTGAAGTATGGAACCCTACGCAGACAGTCAGCCAGTGCGACTTAAGCAACGTGCAGTCATTGAATTCTTGACAGCAGAAGGTGTCGCCCCAAAGGAGATTCATCAGAGAATGCAAGCTGTTTATGGTGATTGTGTTGATGTGAGTACTGTGCGTCGTTGGGCGAGTAAGTTTAAAAATGTTGAAGTGGGAACATATGACTTGTGTGACAAAGAAAGAGTTGGACGTCCTGTGACGGCAACCACCGAGTTTCACAAGCAAAAGGTTGACAGCTTGATTCAGGATGATCGTCTTATCACTCAGAGAGAAATTTCAAGCATAATCGGCATTTCACAAGAACGTGTGCGTCACATTATTGCTTTGCTTGGCTATCGGAAGAATGGTGCACGATGGGTACGTTGAGAGAACTTTAAAATGCTGGTTGCAGAAACAGTGTCAACATCTTCCGTAACAGCTTCAGAAAACACGTGAACACCTAATCTTTTTTTTTTTGGTGAAAAGTTCAACTTGAGTCTGTATGTATCCTTTTGCTTTCTGTCTTTCATATAAATACTGATGGAGAAATACTGCTGTGTTGTATTCCTTAAATACTTTAGTAGTATGTGTTTTATTTATAGCTTTCTCGATTAAGCTTAATGGGGTAATACTTAAGCTATGTACGAAAGCACATTTAGATGTTAAAACGTACTTGTAAAATTTTTAATAGTGTCACGTATCTGTTTCAAATGAGTGGGCAATGGTGCAATCCTACCCTATATATAGATTTTAATTTGTTTTGAAATTTAAAATGCTATTAAAATCATGAGGTTATTTTATATTGAATTTGACCCGAATGACTTGTGTGCCTTCAAGTCAATTCTAAGTTAAAGTGACTCTTTCTAGGGATTGCCTTGGCAAAGTTTCTTCAGAAGTTTGCCATTGCATTTCTCTGAGGCTTGAGAGATTGATGTGCCCAAGATCACTCAGTTGGTCTCACAACCAAGCAGCAATTTTCAACCCTAGTCCCCTGAGTCATAGTTCAACACTGGACCATTTATACGATACATGCTTCCACCACACAAATGAGACTGCAAATAGCCATATTTCCATGTAAGAAGTACCTGGCAGGAAGACTCTTTTCAAAGGCTTTTAATGCCTGCCCAGCCCCCTTCCTCATGATTAATGTATAACCTTTTTAGCATCTACATTACAAGGAAGAGAGCAGGTTTGAGAAGCACATACTTTCCGTCTTTCAATATGTCACTGTCTGCATAGTGTTTGGTAAAGTTTGAGCTGGGAAAGGAATTCTAATCTGACTACGCCTATGTGAGAATTTGCCCTTGTTCTTCTATTTGACGTGTAATAGTTTGAAATAAAAAGTCCCAGTTATACTACTCGTTTGTTGTGTGGTGTAGCCACCTAGTGACATTGTTTCCATGTTATTTCTATCTCTGATATTAAATTTTAATTTGGAAATGTTTTATGTCTAGGACTTGTCCTCCAAAGTGTTATGTCTAGCAATTGTGATATTTTTAAAGGAAGTATCCCCAGCCACAAAGGAGCTTGCAGGCTAAATTTCAATATAGAAACAAGAAAAAGGGCCAGCAAATACAGTAGCTGGAAAGAATAACAGCAAATTAGTTCAAAGGATCACAGCATATGTAGATATTAGAATGTAAAAGGGTGACAATCACTTTTAGACCTGTGCCATGAATAAGGATTGATTGCATTTTCAGGTAACCTATTCATTGTCCACAAGGGGGTGGTGTTGGTGCTGATATAAAGAAACACTTCATTACTTTTAAGATCCAATTCTCTTTAGTGTTTTTTTCTTTAAAAAAAAAGCAAACAGGAGCATTTTCTAAGTTTTCTAATCAGGTATGATGTGAGTCCCAGATCTAGTGAACTGATTTCAGTGCAGAAAGAAATGTGTAAGAACAAGCCATATGCAGATTACACTATGTTTCTGGAATTGATTCTATCATAAAACATGGGGGGGGGGGGAATTAAACTTTGTTTTTGAGGGAGGTACATCCTGCAGCACATTTTGCTACAGTTTTTCAATGAATATCCCATAGAGTCAACCAATTCAACATAGTTTGCAGTAGCCACAAAACTAAGTTTCTGAACTATAACCATGACTTTCGAAGTAAGTACTGCACAATTAAACAGAAAATACACTTTCAAACTGGGAACAGAATTTTATCAGATTTTGCACCATATTTATGTTGGTATCATTCAAGGACTTATCTGGAAAAGTATGGAGAAGATCTGGGTGCGAGTAACATAAATTTGAATGCTAATAGTGAGATCGTCTGGTTCAATATATCACGAGAGCAGAAAAGGAATTCAGTAAGTAACACATTTTATTGGACAAGTTTACATTGTATGGCTCTGCTGACAAAAATGATGTTGCACAGAAAGACATTTAACAAATAGAACGATGATGTGCCTGGGTGTACTTTTCACAATGCTAGTAAGTTCCATTCATCGTAAAATGGATTGCATCGAATGAAGTCAGTTGAAGCTGAAACAGAATTTTGAGTTTATAAACCTTTTTAAATGCAGGTTGAGTATCCCTTATCTGAAATGCTTGGTACCAGAAGTTTTATATAATTTGGATTTTTGAATGCTTGTATATAAATAGATATTTTGGAGATGGAACCCATCTAAACACAAAATTTGTTACATGCTTCATTATAGCTTATACACATAACCTAATAGTAATTTTTATACCTAATGGTTTTTTTGTGCAAGATGAATATATTTGTGTGTGTTGAACTGTCAAAGAGGTGCCACTATCTCAGCACCCATGTGGTCAGTTTTGAGTTCTGGATATTTTGGAATTCCAGATAAAGGATACTCAGCTACATTATATATTTAAAGTGTTCTCTTCCCCAATACAGTATGGCTTTGCAAAGCACTTGGATAGACTGTTTTCATAATGCCAGCTTTAAGAAGAACACTAGCCCATTATCTGGGTGGCTATTCTATTAGACATTAAAGTAAAAACTTCTGAAACCTGAGCTAAGCAAGCTTAAAAGGGCAGAGTGTGTAACAACACTCATGTTTCTAAAATTGGGCATAGCACTTAAGTACATTGACAATATTTTTATTGTTGCACAAAGGAATTCATTATCAAAAGCAATTTTATACAGTTCAAGTGATTCTGAGGTACTGGGTAACCAATGCAACAACCAAAAGTCATACATAAGGAAATGCTAAAAACAGTATCTGCATCACACACATACATGCATCCACAGGCTAACAAACTGGAATTTATTCAGTAGAAAGTAGACCTCATTACTACATTTTAAAAGTATGTTGTAAAACTAGAACCTCTCCTATCTGACAAAACTATCACAATATTGCCTACATACAATTCATAAATTATGTGTATTTTCCTGTTCTACAGTTTCAAGGAAACTACCCAGATAAGTGTCAATTATTTGATTAGCTGTTGGCATTTATAACCCATCTAAAGACCAATCTCTTCTGGCAGGCCTATCCTGCCAGTTTTAAGCATGAGTTTTAAACTCATGTCCTATAGAAATACATTTTAATATGTATCTTTTATAGAACTACATTTTAATATGTGTATAGAAATTTTGCAATGTTTGTGTGTTTTGACTGCTGTGACCCACCTTGAGCCACAAGGAGAGGTGGGTAAGAAATTAAATTATTAAAGGTTGACCGTGGTCGACTATGAAACAGGTACAGTGAATAGTACCTGTTGCCCTCATGAACACTGAATATTATGAAAGAATTATCACATACAAAGAATAAACGATTACTTCAGAATTAATTGTTCTGAAAGGTTCTCAACAGTGCAGTAAAATCATGAGGGTTTCATTTGTCTGCATAGATAAAACATTGTTTAAAAGTTAGTGAAAACCTCCTTATGGCTATCTTTATCCAGACACATTAAACTGATTTGTACAGCTATTTAATCTGCTGCTTGTTCGGAGGGGGAGGGGGGGAACGGGAGACATTGAAGGTGTATGGTAGTCTTTCCTGTTACTTGTCCAACAGTTCAAAACTTTTAAAACAAGTAATCTTAGTATCTGGATATGACATACAGAGGGAAAATATTGTTAGAAACAGTAGGTGCAATATGGTCATAGTTTGGTTATGCTTCTTATCCAGGGTACAAAAGAGGAGACTTTGGTATAGACGCCTGGAGAGTCTTTGACTCCACAGCCGTAACCCCAAGAGGTTACCCCATACACAGCCCAACTTTCTCCTGAACGTTCACACATCAGTGGTCCACCACTGTCTCCCTGGCAGCTGTCCACGCGTTTCTGCTCCTGGAGATTACCAGCACAGAGCATCCTTCCTGTGAACTTTGTCTGGTAGCGTTCTTCACAAATTCTCTTAGGAAGCAGGGGAACAGCAGCTTGCTGTAATGTTCTGGAGTAGGCTTTTCCTGAAGAAAAGGGAGGGGATGACAGTTAACATAACTGAAGAGACAAAATTATAGCAAAATGCATGAAGTTTCACCAATAGATGCTATTCAGAGAGAGAGTATGCATTAATAACATAGTATAAAGGGGCCATCTTTGATTCTGCTTTCAGCAGCTGACTACCTACTTCAAGATTATATTAGTGAAAGGAAAAAATATAGAGTGGGCCAAAACGGAAGGTCCTGGGAGGCAAAATGGAAGGGTCTCATTTCCAGAATAAAGGGGAAAGATGGTAGTAAACCGTTCCCGGGTAGGGGAGAGGGGGGAAGTGAGAAGGAGGGGGAAAATGTACAAACAGGATACAGGATGATGAAGAATAAAAAAAGAATACTTTTGAGGACCTTAGATTGGTAGGTATAAAATGATAACCAGGGGGAAATGATTAAACGCTCAAACACACTGAGGAATAAATATTCGATAGTATTCCTGTACCTTTGTATTATGGAATGGCAAGTCAAGGGTAGAGGTTCTCAGGAGGGAATGGGCAAATGGTGGAATTGGGGGAAGATACTTGTATTTTGATTGTTGAATTTTGAAGATTTTTTTCATGTCAGGAGCAACTTGAGAAACTGCAAGTCACTTCTGGTGTGAGAAAATTGGCTGTCTGCAAGGACACTGATGTTTTACTATCCTTGTGGGAGGTTTCTCTCATCCACACTCTCCCTGGATTCGATGAACAGTATTGGGATGGTCTGTCTGAGCAGAACTAGTGGCATAAATTGAGATGAACAAGATTACATGTTTTCTCTCAAGAAATTACGGTATACAAGTAAAAGAAAAATGAACACTTAGTAAATAGTATATGGCACTGTTAATCCAGAATTGATATAATAGTTGCTGGATACATGTACAGTGAAGGATCATTTTATATATTAAGGAATCTTACAATAAGAGGTATGTATCACACACATGTGATAAAGTACAGACAGAAGTATGTCAGAAAGAACTGGCAGTTTTATGTATGCCTCAACCCAGTTCAGAAAAATCAATTCATGAAATTCTAGTCTACAAAGATGGAGGTTTAATTCAATAAATATACTTATGCTCAAATCATAGGAATTTGTAATGACTGTTTTGCAGAAAATTACTGAACCAATTCCTAATTTTGTAGTCTACTAAAAGAGGTAGTGTAGTGGTTTAAGACTGTAACACTGAAGACCAGGGTTCAAATTTGGGTTTGCTATGAAACCTACTAGATAACCTTGGGCAAGTCAAACAGACCTAACAATAAAGTTTCCTTCCCTGCAATTCAGTAGAGTGGCGCTGTTAAAATTTGATGCAAATGTGAGCTCCACAATTAAGAACTAGTTTCAAACCAAAGACAGACAACAGTCCTGCCATATTAATGTGAAATTGGACAGATCAACAATCTGTGAAACAATGACAGATCATTGACTAAGAAACTTCATTTCCATTGAAGACAATAAGTATGCTTTTCTATCATGGCTATTCAGCAAAACACAAAACTCCTGCCAGACAAGTTCAAAGTTAACAATTAAATTGAATATAAACATTTAAAAAGTGAAATTTTCAATAATTCTCTTCCTGAATTTACAACATGTTAAGAACTCATTTGAACTAGAACAGACACATAAACATTTAGAAACTGCCAAGTATTTGCTTTGATCTAAAATGCAAAGCTAAGCAGAAATGCTACAGTAACCTATTGTGTGTGTAGTATTACATTTTGTTCCTTCCTTACTGAAGAGACATCTGTTCATACAATAATACATTAATGAATTCAAGAAAAAATCAAACACTGGCCAGTTTTTTGCCAACTTTAATTAAAGAATAAGAAAAAAAGCCTTGAGTCTGAAATCATGACCTACGAGTGTGTGTGTCTGTGTCTGTCTGTCTGTCTTGCTTGAATGCTGCAAAAACATCTCCACCCTAGGTAGTTAAGCTGAAGTAATAGGACAGCAATAGCAGCAAGAAATGAAACCAAAATGCAGTCTTTTTCTAAGCTAGAAAATGTTTTTATTGCCATTAGATTGTAGAACAGTAGTATGTTTCATTCTAGCTTTTGGAAAGCAACCAGTGGGGGTGGCAACATGTAACATCACAGAGAACAAAAGCAAGGTGCAACAACTAGTGGAGGAAAAAATAGGGGAAATGAAGTAAAACCTCTTAAATTAAAAGCATTAGAAAATGGTGCTCGCACTGTTTTGTAAAATTTCATTTCTGGGGCATTATGTACATTGTAACAAAGTAGTACAAGAAGGAAATGAAAAAATTACAAAATTGTAAGACTAAAAGAGCTGGAATCTTGACTTTTGTGAGTAGAATTCTAGTCGCAGAACAAAGCTGTCCAATCTTTTTAGCTCTACAAAGCTGCAGTCCCTGAATCTTATCCTGAAGGTTGGGATCATCTTGAATGTGAAGGAAGAGCAACTTGGCAAACACACCGACATAAACTACTTTCACGAGCACAAATGTCTTCAAGCAGCTTATTCAAACCAATGAGCACCGACACGGAACAATGGCTTCAAACTACAAGAGAGGAGATTCCATCTGAACATTAGGAAGAACTTCCTGACTGTGAGAGCCGTTCAGCAGTGGAACTCTCTGCCCCGGAGTGTGGTGGAGGCTCCTTCTTTGGAAGCTTTTAAGCAGAGGCTGGATGGCCATCTGTCAGGGGTGATTTGAATGCAATATTCCTGCTTCTTGGCAGGGGGTTGGACTGGATGGCCCATGAGGTCTCTTCCAACTCTTTGATTCTATGATTCTATGATTCTATGACTTTACACGTTAAAAAGCACTTCCAGGAGAAGTGGAGCAGTTGACCATCTCCCTAGTAAGATGTGAGCTATATCTAAAAAACTGTAAATACAGGCAGTCCCTGAGTTACAAACATCTGACTTACAAAAGACTCATAGTTACAAATGGGGGTGAGACAACATGGTAAGAGAAATCTACCCCTTGGAAGGGAAATTCACTCCTGAAAGAGTTATCATGGAGAAAAGGTGTCTCCACTGAAGCTCCCTCATAAATCATTTTTTTCACAAACCAAATTTTTCAAAATCTAGTTATCACAGGAACAGAAAATGCAGTGACATATTTTGAATAGGGCCGCAGACAGAAAAACAAACACCACAGGCATGTTAACCCTTCCCTATGTAATATAGCAAAAGAAAAGTATAATGTACTAAGGGAAGCAAGAAGGAAAATGTTACAAAAATGGTACAGAACTCCTGCACAACTTTCATGCTTTGTACCAGAGGTAAAGGATAGGTGTTGACATGGCTGTAAACAAAGAGGGGAGTTTAATCATATGATATGGGAATGTGATCAAGTGCAAGAATACTGGAAAATGATTGAAGGGGAAATCAATACAATGTTTACAAATAGTAATGGTTAATAAAAATGTACTACAWGCACGGATAACAAGAGGGAAAAATATACAAAAGGAAAAAATGGTTGACAAATTAATAGCGTGTGCACAAATTGTATTAGTGAGGCGTTGGAAGGATAAAACAAAATGGACACTGACTAATTGGTATAACTATATAGTTAATATGTTAAATGTGGAAATAACAAATTGTAAATGGAATAACATAGATAAAATTGAAAAGGTCACAATAASTAAYAGGATGTGGGAACCAGTTAGGAATTATTTAGAAAATGTGTTAAGATGTGGAGTAGAAAAATTAAGACTGAGACTGATATTTCAAATGTAACTTCTGTAGTTTGATGTATAAATTGTATATACAAGGAGGGGAGGGTGGGAGTGGGGYAAAAAACCCTTTTTAWAAAAAAAAACAAAACCCTTCCCTATGCTACCCAAAGCTAGAAAATACATATTTTTGGTTTGAGTTACACTTTAAAAATGTACCCGTTCCAACTTGCATACAAACTCAACAAGAAACCTAATTTGTGGACTGCTGTACCTTAAAGCCTAAAAAATGTTGGTCAAGCTCCTACATTATCTATTTAGTTATGAATATGTAACACTTCCTGGCCTGACCAACAAAACCTGCCTTAACAGTCAGCAATAGAGGTTTGTTCAGGAGATCACAACACAGTAGAATGGTGTTTCCAGCCTCCTTCATCAGCATGCAAGATGGTGACAGAAGCAGATCTTTTGTAGGAATGTTTCATGGCTCTACCTCTAACAAGCCAAATGGAGCATGCTGGTTAGAGGTGACCGGAAACATTCTGCTAAATCCTTATCACCAGCAAGAAGAACAGACCTCCATCACTCAGTGTGGCTACTGACTTTTAAGGTAAATTGAGGAGCTATTTATAATTGTTGCAATATTACCATGACTGAATTTGGAGCAGTCGTGGATCTGTAACTCTAGACTATGAATGTAGAACTGCAATACAAGATGGCACCATATTCCATAAAAATGCTCTTACCTGTGTCACCCCAACCAGTGATGTAGCAATTTGGTGCAGTTTTCTGTGGCCTCTCACGTCTGAGAGGCAAGCAGGCTGGTAAAACATGAGTGCTAAAACGAGCACACTGCTCTTCAGGCCCTTCCAAACGTACTAGTGCAATGTCATAATCACTGCTCTCAGGCCTATATTCTTTATGCTGCACAATCTCTTGTACTCCAATTTCTTCCTCATACTCCTCAGGTACCAATGTGTGGTAGTCCCCAACACGTATCACATAGTTCTTAGTGTTATTGCCATACCTAAAAGGAAGAAAAATAATAATCACAATAATATTTTATTTATTGATAGCATAGATGAAAATACTGCAATGGGAAACTTTGATATCTAAGTAGGTACATGGTGTGCACATTAGAAATCTTCTAGCCATGTCTTCACTGGAAGGTTAAGATTTTAGTTTCAACAAAACATAAGAGCATTTGGGGACAGTATTAGGTAAATGTTGGGCAATGGATTGCCCTTTGTTTGCAATCTGTGGACTTGGCTTTCTCAGACACATATCCTGGGAAAATTTCATTAACAACTCAAACTTTACTTCTTTGTTTCTAAAACAGGAATGTCTACAAATTAGTGGTGGCTTAAACTATGGTAAACACAGACAACTAGTCAAATACAAACCAATTCATTTAATCTGATAGTTTGTTTTTACTGCAGGAACATAATTTTATAGTAGCAAAAAACCTTACCCAAGACAATCAGTGCATTGTTTTCAGTACTCTATAGTTAGCATGTTAAGGGTGTGCTGGAGCACAGGGGGCAAAGTAGTGGGAAGGAGGAATAGAAAAGATTACCCCTTTTCCAACATCAACACTTGCAACATCAACCTTGTTTTTCCTTAGTGTCTAGAACCTTAAAGAGAAAAATGTGTAGCTGACTTTAAATAAAAAAGATGGACAGCATAAAACAATTAGTTTATTGTACTGAGCACTTGTCTTCCAAAAGTATGCATTTTAATAGGACCAAAAAGAAAGCAGATAGACACATGATGTTTCTAATCAGGTTTTTCAATTAACATTTACTTTTAGAACAAATTTAATTTATTTCATCTTTCCAGAGACTTATCAAAGGTATCTATTTTCTTTGAACAGCTTATAGAATTTTTCTAGTTGCTCTCTGAAATCAGTCAACAATTAATTTTCAACCCAGAAGATTAATTACCTGTATGGGGGTAGGGAAGGGTACCCATGCAATTTTTAGTAAAGAGGAAGAATTCAAAAATAATACACAAATGTTATAGAGTTGTGGCATCCCAGAATGTGGGTTCCACATAGCCAACTGAATGCCCTAATACACTAGAATTCAATATTTCTTTTCCCATGATGTAGCAAAACTAAGGTGCTGTCTCTTTATGGTACATATGAAAAAGTCTCAAGCATTTAAAACAAGGAAAAAAGAAATGGCACCATTTTTATTTTGCAGTGAAATTGAAATGGCTTGGTCAAGGAAACTGAACAGTAAAGGCTGTAGGGCATTTTATGTTCTCCATTTACTGTGAGGCAGACTATTTCCAGAGTAGATGTAATGCCTGGAATGTATAAAGGATTCTGACACAGGAACGGATTAGATTCCCAGCCAAATATTTCTTCCGCAGTGTCATCCCTTCAGAGCTTGATATGATACAAGTTTAGTAATTTGGGTGATGTGACAGATCCCTCAGCCAATTTTTGTTGTTTTCATCAATGAAGGTGAGAATATGTAAATAAAAATAAACTCTTACAAATCTCTATTTTTAGAACCTAGAAAATGCTTTTCCAAAGTGAAATACAACATGTTCTTTTCCACACATCTTAAATATAAGCACCACTTTGCAAATGCATACATGCAGATAGATGTGTGATAAAACATGTTCTGCAGCTAAACATATTGTCCAATTTCAAATTCTACAATGATATACAAATTTCTGGCTAAACTCTGCATGGGATTCTAAAATGATGTTGCATCTAGCTCTATCAATAAAGGAAGTTGTCAGAAGAGATGTACAGGTGTTGCTGTTGTTATTCCACTGTCTGATATGCAAATCTTGATATTACAAGTATTTTTGCTATGAATATTTAAGTTGCAGATCTCGTTGCTTTTAATAACTCTTGGTCCCTAGTCCATCCTATGAAAGAACTGTCACTCTCTGTGTTAAAAGTTTCAAAAATATTAGTTGTTTACTTAGATTTATCATGCATCAGGATTGTCTCCTCTGTGTGTGTGTGTCTTCAAATTGCCTTCAGCTTCTAGTGATCCCATGAATTTCATAGGGTTAACTTAGGCAAGAAATAACCAGAGGTGGTTTTACCAGTTCCTTCCTCTGAAATATAGCCTACAGTACCGGGTATTAATTGATGGTCTCCAATAAAAGTACTAACCAGGCTGGGTGTATTTAACTGGGGTATTTACAGTATTTAGGCTACTCTTAATCATTAATGGGACTTCCTTGTTCTAACTAACCTGAACTTTTCAGCACTACTTGAAAACAAAGTCAGAAAGAGGTCACTGATAGACCAGTCAAATAAATACATGAGATGCCTCATCATGTTCTGCAGGAGGTTTCACTGCAGCAGTTTCCATATCATAGAATGTGATATGTTTATTTCTCTTTTCTGTTTCTGAGCTCTGTCCACTTTCTTTCCCTAGACTCAGTTCTGTTTATCTAGAAGTTGATGCTGACATCTGCAACAACTTCCTTTCTTGTTCAAATCCAATTTAGATATAATCTTGAAAAGCCTCTGTGATTCTGTTTATTTGCATGTTTAGTGGATCATATAAAGTTTGAAATCCAAGTCCTATTCAACTAAACATGGAGCTGTCCAATTGTCCCATCACCCCCCAAGGGGTATATTGTTGTTGGTTGTGTGCCTTCAAGTCTTTTCCATCCTGTCATGACCTTGAGGAAAACCTCTCACTTGGTTTTCTGGGACTGAGGTGTGTGACTTGACTAGTCACCCAGTGGGCCGAACAAGGAATCATGATATAGTCTATATAGTCATGTCCAGCACACTAACCATCACGTTACACTGAGTATATACTATGATATGCTGGAAAATGCTGGTACTAATGGGTATTGTCCTCAGGAAACAAGCAATAGCTACAATCCAGAACAGAGCTGAGAGCATTTAAGTTTATTTAAATCAGAAATGTTAATGTGGCTGCAAAAATAAAAATATTTAATGTAACACATACTTCTTAAGCATCTTCTTTTTAATGAAAGTAAATGTATCTGAAACTATTCTAAATACATTTTAATTATCTAAATTAATATTTGTTTAGTGTAGGGGTAATTAAGCAAGTAGAAAATATTCCTGTTTTCTACATCAGGTAGTATGTGAACTTAAAACTATACTTAAATACATTATCAGCCAATTCCACCAGCCAATTAAGATGGAATAATATAATTGGGGCCAGTGTACTGTTGTTAACTGAACAGATCTTTTAGCAAAATTAAACTGAACAGAACTGAATTAAATTGAATAGATTATGAGTTAATGTTTCATAATACTTGAATATACGCCAAGGTTTTGCATGTGGAAGGTATGATTTGCATATTACAATTAGGTAGGGTAGGCCTCAGGAAACTCAAAAGTCCACTAGCTAAGGAAAGATGCAGAAAGTAGACTCAGGAGGCAAATAATTATCTAAGGTTTCTCCGTGACCACGTACTTCCTGTATATACTGGGCAACTGCAAAAGAGAAAAGGGGTAATTTGTCATCACCAGAACTGATATCATAGGTTTAGTTTCAGCTGTTTTTCAGTTGTTTGTTTATTGAGAATTGTGTGTTTAATTGTTGAGGGAGGACTGTGTGGATGAGAAATACATTTGGTGCTATTTTTGAGTTTCTTTTGGCCATTACTAGCCAGAAAAAAAAATGAAAACTTGAAAAAAAATTGAGGAGGATCTGAGGCAAAACAAGCTTCTGTAGAACCACCTGTGTCCCACAAATCACCATTTCCCCATCTCTACTCTAGATAAAGCATATATAGTGATATAAAAATCACTACCGTACAATATATGCTAATGTGTATTAATAAATCCTGTGGGCTTGGTTGTTTAAAAACCACCACCCTTTTTTTCTTTCCCTCTCTTTCTTTTCCCTTTTCTCCTTTCCTCTTCCTTTTCTTCTTTCTTTCCCTTTCTGTCCTTTCTGTCCACTTCTCTCTTTTCTATCTCCTTCTCCATCTGGGTAGTGGTAGCCTCCTAATTTTCACTGTATACTCACTATGCATCTTATTTAATTTTAATTAATCAAATTTTAAAATACTCTGTTTGTGTACCCCTATTCTATCCCTTAATAAAATATTAACTGACAAAAAAACCAAACAACCAGAAGAATTCCACTAGACTTCCTTGTGCTGATTTCTTTTTAAAACTAATGTAAAATAATAAACCATACTTTGCTCATCTATAAGCCAATGTATTGGTTAATTGTTTCATTTTCTACAATAATATACTAATCTGAGGCACCATTCCATGCAATTGATGAAGCTAGTGCAGTCTATACAAAAATATGCCAAATAATTTTTGTTTGTTTTTAAGGTTCTCTGTTGTCTTTTCCTATACTAATGTAGCATCCCAACCCGTATAGCCACTGGTGAATCCAGGACAGTGAGCTGGCAGAGAATTAACTCAGAATTGTACTAAAACACTTCTGCTCTGAACCTGGGTACTTCATTGCCTCACAGCAGCACTTTTCAATTTGTCATACAACAGTACCTCTTAAAACAGTGTGCTGCAGTGAGGACCCAGCAGCTGCTGATAAGAGTGGCACCACACAGCAATCTTCCATCACCATGGGATGATTTCAGGCGCAGAGCAACCTGCCAGGGCCATCCCCCTCTAGAAAGAAAACAGAAACAATCCACCTTATTTATGAGTTACTAAAAGTTTTTGCTAACTCCTTATTCAGCCTACCAGTGTTTCTAAAATGATATTAAAATTCTTTTCAAATCCATTCCAGTCTGGTTTGAAAAAACAAAGACCACACCATTCATATAGTTTGGCATATCACCAGGAAATCAACACTGACAGACCCATCCTCCCTTGATGCAACAAGTGGTGCTACAGAGAAAGCCCTATCTTGTGTAGTCATCAAAGAAGTTTCTCAAGGTGATGAGATACATTAGGACCCCTACTGAAGCTCCAACTTTCATTCAGGCTTCTACAATAATAGGAGATGGTTTCAAATAACTTGGCCCCAAGCAGATTCAGCCTTTATAGGTCAAAACCAACTCCTTGAATTACTGGAAGCCACTGCAGTTGGTTCAAGACAACAGTCTGGCCACTGGATTTTGCAGAAAATCAAGCTCCCAAATACATTTCAAATGCAGCTCTAAATTCATTAGAGTAGTCTAACTGATAGGTAATTATCATTGCAACCAAATCTTCCTTTGCTAGGAATGTGTGTCATTACTGTTATACATGAAGATGGACAAAGACACTCTTGGTTTCTCCAACCCTCTTGCTTCCCAGGGGCATTGCTAGGTCCAAGCAAACTTCTAAGCCCGGTCTTTCAGAGGGAGTACAATCCCATTTAGAACAGCTCGTAATAACAGTCCTTATCTTGTCATGTCTAAACCTAGCTGTATTTTTTTAACTATACCCAATCATCCACTATATCCAGAGAGCAGCCCAGGATTTTAATGCCTCCATGATGACAGCTGAGAAAGACAAGCTGAAGTGGCTCCAACAAACATGTAAATATGACCTGACTCCAAATAACCCCTCTCCCAGTGGCTTCATGCAAATACTGAAAAGCACAGTGCCCAAGAAACTCTTGCTATTTCAGGATACAGAAAACTAGAGGTTTGTTTCAAAAACCTCCATACAGTACTTTCACTCAAATCTTAGATAAGCCAAAAGGGAGTTGTGTATGTGCATGGTAACAATTTGGTAGGAAGTGGCACTATTAACATAATAAAGATGAGCAACCTTAGTTCACTTTCTCCTACACAGAGCACACTGAACAGGGAGTACAAAGACTATCTAGATTTCACTTTTATAAGAGTTATTAAATTACTGTTTGATAAATCCTGTTCCAGGGATCATGTAAAACAAAACAAAAACCTTTGCATTTTATGACATCCATAGACTGTCTTCCTATTCTCGTCATAGCCTAAAACCATGCAGTGGTTTAAATAGGTAAATACATTGAATTCATGTGTCAGCACGGTAAATCAAATGTCTACCATGCTCATTTGTTACATTTGAAGTGTCATCCAATCACATGGTGAGGCCAAAGTTTGAATCAAAGGCAACAGATTTTCTCTATGTGCATTTACCGTAAAGAATTTTTTCCTCCAATGATCCGTTTCTGGCGACGATGTAATAATCTCAAACCACACACCGAAGCAAGAGAATCTAAGAAGGAACAGGATAATAGAGGATTAAGTCTTCCATAAGGAGAACAGGGTTCTGTTGTTTTTGTATAATCACTAGTGCAGGCCTACCACTACTTTTTGCAAAAATAAAAGATAAGACATTCTCTGTAATATAAACATCTTTCATTATATTTCCCCCTCTTTCCACCAAACTTTCACATATTCTGTTTTATGCCAACTTCACCTTTATTACTGTTGCCAGGTGCCTTCTTGCTAAGATAGTCACAGATCACTCCAGCATCTTCACTGTGTCGGCAATTGTGTCTGCCAATATCCTGTTTAATGCAATCAGCTAAGGATCTCTCACTTCCCGTACATTTCACATTGTCCACATGTATGGGGCCTTTCCCTTCTCCAAAGTATGCCATAGTCCTTGCTCGTGATGGACCTCTAGAAACAACATTAAAAGTCATCCTTTAATAAAGACATCATTAAAAACAAAAGAAGTGGGAAGTTAAACATAAGAGCTAATTTTAATATATCTTTCTTATACAGCAGTAAATATATTACTAATTATTCAAAGAATATATCAAATGTATTACCTTGAGTATAGAATTGCTACCAACATTTATCTAACAATTTTTTTGATTCAGCAGTCGAGATGGGGAGATAATAGATTTAAATATTATATAATGTGACTGTGAGTATGCAATCTATTCAACGAGGATATTTGGTTACTTCAGAATATAATATATGTAAAATAATGTAGTATTGCAGTATTTATTGATTATTGCTTATGTGTTATAGTTTTGTTTGCACTATTTCCTCCTGTTTTTTCAAGTCTGTTTAAAATATAGATCTCAAGACTAATTCCCCAAATTCCACCTGAAAAGCAATGGTTTGGATCTAATTCTGTTATACCTCTCTTGGAAGGCACTTTGATTCAGCCAAATAAATGCAAAGGTATACAATACATTTTTTACTGTTTCCCATTTCTTTCTGCTGCTATCTGCAAGTCAACATTATCCAAAGCATAGAGAAACCCCCCTTACATTGTATGAGAAGTTACAGACTCCACCAGGAAGAGGTAAATGGAGGCCCAGTAGTTAGAGAAAGCATGAGTGGAAGCATTGCATATTAACAAGTACATTCTTGATGCAAAACATGGCCACAGCTTAATTATGGCCTTGGCATAGTAAGTTGCAGATCTAGATACTATAAGACTCACTTGCCATCTGGTGAATCTTCTCTCCTGAGCCTACCTGCTGTGAAACTGAAATGTCAAAATGGTTGTAAGACACTGTGTGTCTCTCAATGACACATGGGAGTAAAGCAGGTTGAACAGTCCCTACATTGGATTTGCACTTGACTTGTTTCATTAGCAAGCTCCTTAACAGGACCCCAGAGAGGACAGATGAGAACACAAGCAGATCCCTCCAGAACAATCCAAGCCAGTGCAAAAACACTTAAAAAATATTAACATGAATTGTTGAGCAGAAGCAATAAAGAAAATGCATGGACTGATGCAAAGGAGGCCATGTAAATGACAGCAAATGTAACAGACATCATGTAACAAAAAGTATTCAAGGAAGGAGAGGAAAAGCCATAGCTGAGTGTGGCTACTCAAACATAAAGCAGTTATATAACTGAACAGTGGAGAATGGATTGTGTAGCAGTCTGGTCTGTCTAGGAAGTCCCCAAGCTTGGTGCTTTGGCTCTTATTTGGCCAAGCGGCAAGCCAGAACCTATATGATACTTGCTGAACAGGCAGAAGAGGTGGCAGATGCTTGAGCGGGTTGATGACTACCATTTCTAATCTATCCCAGCAACACCACATGTAAGAACCCAAGTAAATCTAGAACATGCCTTTGTGAAAACAGTTTCCCTTCTCCTTTTGTTCAAAATGAATAGAAGCACAAAGTTGTATACATCTCAAAGTTGGGCTTTCTAACAGCACATTATAAGATAAAGAGCTAATCAAGTATTAAGTAGTGGAAGTGCACAGGAGCAATCTACTGTGTGCCTCCCTCACACCTGATCACTACCTCGTGGAAAGAGGAGAGATAATTAAGTCCAAAAGCATGTTGGGTTTAGTTGTGTCATGAAATTTACCTGCATACTGCAGTGGCATAGTAGAGGTAGTGAGGAGATTGCATATATGCTGCCCCAAAGTGAATACAGATGCATCTTGTAAGGGACAGATTGGTAATAGGCATTACTCTAGAATCCAAAGCTGCCTAGGCCAGAAGGGAACTATTTTTGTGATCAATGAAGTTGAATAACAGCGATCGTTCCTGTGACACAATGTTTGTAGAAAATTGTCTACATGAGCAGCACACTGTCAGCATACAAAAAGAAACAATTCACAGTGCCACATTATTTATTTATTTATTGTCTATCTTATCAGCATCACATAGCCTTGCATAATAATGTATATTGGGATCTGCAAGCTGTATTTTTCTCCATAATCCACATAATCCTTCCATAAAATCAGCATCTGTGCAAGTTAAAAATAATTTATATCATAGCGTGACTCGTCCAGAAAGCTAAACTGGTTCAGACAGGGAGAGATTATTATCCTTTTTCCTTTCCCCCAGAAATCATGACCTACAAATATGTCACTCTCTAATAAATCATATTGATGATAAGAAAATATTTTTTATAAAAAAAATACATGATTCAGAATCATTAAAATCATAAGGAACATATAGATCTTCAAATACCCCTTCATAATTTTGCAATGTTGTCAAAGCAAATTAGGGGGTAATCTTATATTTGTATGCCATGGCAGGTTTAATTCATATGATTAAATTATCTTTCATGCAAAAATAGCCAGCTACATGCAAAAAGCCTGTCAGAAAGAAAGATGGCAATGATTTTCCTTGATAATTAATTTTTCTATATGTAGGAATTAAAAGAAAAACTTTTGTCAGTGTTTGCCCTTAAATGCCATCTGAAAACATATTAAACATCAAATTACGTTACGATTTTACAAATTAAGCACCAAAACTTCATGTTTTACAGCCATTTAACAGAAAAAGCAGTTCAATACATGGTAACATTATGTAGTAATTACTGTATTTATGAATTTAGCAGCAAAACATCACAATGTATTGAAACAGCTGTGGATCCGGGCGAGAGGCAGACTGCACTGGATAATACAGAATGTTGGATGAGCGAAGGTTGGATAAGAGAGACTCTACTGTAGTTGTAAAAGAAAAACGTGTGACATCATCATAGAGATATATTAGTTTTATTTACTAGGAGAACACGAATTTCCCTAGAAGCAATTATAAAATAAATTTATTGTGCATTTGTTAATATTTTTAAAGTTTCAACCTGTCTTATCAACACAAGCTGGTATCATTTGCTAACATTATCAGGCAATGATGTTTCCAATCCCCTCAGACAAAATGAATTACCCCAGGATGTATAGTATTATTCAATTACTACATTCTCATTGCTTAACTCTCAGCCAGGGATCATAGCAATTCGAGTTTGGGGAACTAGAGGATTTTAAAATGCTTTTGCTGTCTTTGCCAATATTGGATTGGCTATAAGCCATAGTATAAAGCATTTATTATACAGGAAGCCAGTCTGCAAGTGTAGTGTCCTCTTAGGATGTCCAAATTCTCGAAGTGGGTAAAACATACAGTTCAATGGATAATTGCCAATTTCTGCATCAAAATGTGGAATGCAGATGTCCCATTTAATGTTTGCGAGGCTGGAAATGGCAGGCTTTGCTTTAGCTTGCTGATTTTTGCAAATTATTAGGCAATCGTTTTTGGGGGGGAGTAGTTAATATTGGAGAAGGAAATCTTGTTCTTTATTAAGTAAGTAACGGCTTTGTTTCAGTTTCTTAATTTATACAAATAATAGTGTTATCTCGTTTAGCGCTGTATGTAACTAAGAACAGGAATCATTTTTACTGATTTAGGAGGCAAGATGTCCATATAAAAGATTTGTTCAGGTAAAAAAAAAATGTCACTCTCAGGGCACCACTAAACTGAAGCTTCTCTTTGGAGAAAAACAGGATATTACTGAATTAATGAAACACAGTGTCTTTAGATTAAGATGGCGATATATAAATCCATTTGGGGGGGGGGTTGAAAAATATTTTAAAATATTTAATTTTTTTGTAAGTGGTGGCTGTGGCTGATCGTTAGTGAAGATCCTAAACAAAGTCTGTGCAAGAATGCTGCCTTGAGGTAATTATTTTCCCACCTCCATATACCTTTCCTGCCTTGACACTCCATGTATAAGCTGTGGTTTTCTAGGAGGGTCTGGATAGTTTTTGTAAAATCATAGTCCCAGGTAATATGGTAGACTTTATGCACCAATTAATTTTTGCATTATGCATTTTTTCTATGTTGCACTGTGTCATAGGCTGCCATAAGGTCCACAAAAACTGTTCCCATAATGCAACCTTTCTCATACCTTTCCTTGGTATACTCAGTCTGTCCAATGAAAAATTATTGAACAATGTGCAGAAAGCCTTGTTTATTTGAAAACACAGTATGTGAAGATTTACATATCTGGCTATCATTCAACAACTGTTTTGTGAAAAACTACCCTTACTCGTATAATAAGGCAAGCATCATGCTTCATTTAATTTCTCTTTGGCCATGCTTTTCTCCTATCATGTGTCCATACCAAGCATGCTCCTCTCCCTCCGCCTGCAAAAGTCTCACAGTACCTTAACATTTGGTGTGATTTTTCCTTTAAAAATGCTTCATAACACATAAATGTGTTAATATTTAAGGTGCACCAGAACCTCTTGTTATATATAATACAAAGGATCCCAGAGCTTCATTGGCTATAGCAGTATTTTATGACACATTTATCTTCACATGGTAAATGACTCCAGGATGATATAACACATTGGCTATAAACAATATGTCTCTTCTTGTTCCAAGATTTTTCTCCCCTTGAACAACCACAATGATTGCAGATACTACAAGGAATGTACAAAAGCCTGGCAGATGTATCTCCCTCCCAAGCCCCCCAAATGTCTGCAATATGGCAGATCATTTCAAAATTATATCTTCTTTTGGAATCCAAAACTAAGAAATCTTTTTCTATATTCACCCAATGATATTCACTGGGATTGACTGACCCAAATCATTAAATGGAATCTGGCTTCCTGACACAAAATAGGAAGCAGTTGTAGCAATGGTAGCTCAGAAGCCACTTGTGTACACAGCCACTGTGTATTCCTCTGCCATCTGAGGTGAGGTCGTTCCCATTTCCACAGTTAGGCACTACCCAATATCCCTTAAGGCAGTGGTTCTCAACCTGTGAGTCCTCAGATGTTTTGGGCTTCACCTCCCAGAAATCCTAACAGCAGGTCGACTGGCTGGGATTTCTGGGAGTTGTAGACCAAAACACCTGGGGACCCACAGGTTGAGAACCACTGCCATATGGGAATGCACAGTTTTCCTACCAGTACC